GTGAACAAATAATCATGAAGGGAGTAAGTATATTTGAAAGTTGAATTAAGAAAGGCCAAATTTGTACCTAAATATAAAAAAGAAAGGCCATGTTTCATTACTTATATTATTAGATGCCCTACACATGTATACACTCTGCATGCGGTCAAAGATTTAGCGGTCTAATCTTTTATTTCTTCCTATTTTTTTCTTTTTCAAATTGAAATTAAAATGTGTGGGGTTCATTCTTTTGACTATTTTATTTTCTACAAACCGACCAAACAACACCTTGGTATTAATGCAGGATAACTCATGCAATTTGAAATAATGATAATAAAATCAAATATGAAAATATTATACCGAATTTTGAATTACAGATTAAGCATAGCGTTATTAATGAGCAAGTGCCAAGGGAAATTAATAAGGTTAGGTTTTATTCAACTTTTGATTCAAAAAAATAATTGGAGAAAAATATTCAAACTTTCAGACTCTAGAGCTTGGATAAAAACATTATCCGTTTTTAGATTTTTCAATTTTTTTTAATTTTAAACTTTGGTTAGAATTAAGACACGTAAAGACGCAAATTTTATATGTTTCTTTAAGTCCATAATTATTTTATTAATTCTTAGACAGTAATAATAATATTATTTATAGTAGTATTGAGTATGATAATTTTTTATTATTAGTCAGCTTCCAATTCTTATTTATGGTAGACGTTGTATTTTATTTAGTTTTGATTCTCTATTTCTAGTTGTGGTAGGAGTCCCTCCTATATATACTCTATCATGTACTCCATAATTAAATGAGCATTATTATTATTTTAATATTTCAACATTGTATCGGAGCCACCGCTTTTGGTGACTTTAAATTCTCTGCGCTCGCTCCTGGTGGGAAGCGCCGCCATTCGCCGCTCGCCACACCAATGTTCTTTGTTAGAGTATCCCACATCGGAAATTGAAGAAAAAATAAACTGGTATATAAGCCCTTGAGTTGAACTAACTAATCGATTGGATTCAATCTTTTAATGCAGTTCAACCCAAGTGTCTTATTGCCAAATCCAGTTGTCCATACCCATCCCAAATTCTATCATTCTTCCTTCAATTTTTCGAATCTGCAACCCCTCAACAACGCTCTCAACTCATCTTCATGTCTTCTCAAAAGTGCACTTAATTATAATATAAATTTAATATAATTGTGCTCATTTTAGGATATATTTTTGATATATCAAAATTTTATACTGTATTATTTAGTTATTTAGATAATGTTTAATTTGTTGTCAAAGAGTGTCACGGTTTGACCAAAAAAAGTCAAAGTAGGAAAAGTTTCTAGGACCAGGGGGAGTACTAAAAGTATGATTCGATAACCCTTCATCCCTAAAAGATTGGCAAAGTTTGACTTTTTTTTGTCAAATTGTGACATTCTTTAACCACAAATTAAATATAGTTTAAAATAGATAAATTTTAGAAAAATTTGATATTTTAAAACTATATTTTAAAATAAATCCAATTTTACTAATTATACATTATAACTAAATATTTTTTTTCCATAACCCGTGGTCAAAAGGTATCACAGTTTAACCAAAAAATCAAACTGTGACTATCTTTTAAGAACATATAGTAGACTTCTGGGCGCCAGCATGTGTTATATGCGCGGAGTATGAGATAATTTTTTGGTTTGTACTCTTATTTTTTTTCTTGTTATTTTTGTTTATCGTTCTTTCTACTCCGTATTTTGAACTCTAAGTAAATTAACCGGATTTTTTTCTTTTGTTCCTCCTAAATTTTATGAACCAAACATAGTATAAAAGTGCAAATTAAACCAAGTTTTGGCTCTTGCACTTCAAAGAAAAATTTCACAAACCTTTTTGAGAACTTGTGCATGTACACATAAAAGTTGTGTATGAAATTTTTTTGCCCCTTGTTTTATGTATGGGCTTTTATATGGTTGGGTTAATGGTATAGTTCTGCATGTGTGCTTTATTTCCAATTTTGGGCTAACGTGTAATGAAGACTCTTTTAGGAGTGTAACAAACATTGAAAGAAATGAAAATAACAAAAAACGAGAAATGAAGACGCCCATTCCTTATAAAAATAATTGGGCCAACTTTTAACTTGGGTTCGCCATATTGTGTCCTACCAGGCTACCCCTCCAAAAGTTAACCTTTGCCTTCATCATTAGTCATTAGTTATTACCCTCTGATCTTCTTTATTCATCCTTTTTTGTTTTTTTAAAGAGTGCTAGACGTCTACATAGTAATGATAGTACATACAATAACTACAATTAATCATTTAAAAACAAAATTTGTCTATTTTACAAGGACAAAAAATATATTTAATCCTATTATTTACTCCATATGTCTCTAAAATATTGCCACAATTTAACTTTTTTGTCAAACTGTGACAAAAAAGTTAACTATTATTTAAAATAATTAACTATTATTTATGTTTCAAAACTATAGTTTGAAATAAACTTAATTTTACTAAATTTACATTATAACTAAATATTCTTTTTTCATGATTGACGGTCAAAGAGTGTCACCGTTTGACAAAAAAAAGTCAAATTGTGGCAATCTTTTAGGGACATGGAGTAACATTTTTTCCATCTTACAAAACACTTCATCCTTTTCTTTTCGTCCGTGCAATATTTTTTATTGATCATACATTTAATTAAAATCACCTATTGACCCATTTTGATTATGTAGGAATAATCTATTTGTTACATCATACCACATATTCATTATTAATCTACTAATTAGATCACTCTCACCCTATGTAAAATAAGGGCAAAATGGAATGACATTTTTGTGGGATGAATGTGATGAAAACATATATAGTGACTCTTATGAGATTACATTTGGTGAAATTAGTGTGATAAAAACATGGGTAATTTACATCCCATTTGGTGAAATTGGTGAGGTATCTATTTTAATGGCTTTCTCAATATAGGATCACATGTTTTTATTTATCAATGTAGGACTATTGGTCATTATCTATTAGTCATTATTCAACTAAATGTCCAGCATCATTTGTGCATTATTCTTCTCACTAGATATTATTAAGTCCTATTTAGGGAATAAAAAAGTTAAAGTCCTACATTGAGAAATGATTTATGTTTTAGTCCTATTCACTGCAAATTTCACAATAATAATATTACAGTTGGAATAAATTGCTCGAGGTTTTCTAGAGATTCATCATCATCTCAAGACTAACAAAATTATGAATAAAATGTAAATTTAGTGGTGGAGATGGCAAAGAAACAAAGGATTTTAGTGTGTGATCCGAACCCAAAAGGAAACCACAGACTATTTTTGGTCAAACTAAGTCAACGTGATGTTTGTTCATATTGTGTTTGAGGTTTTAAAAACTAGAAGCAATTAGAGAAGCTCACCATGTTTTCTCTCCCAAAAAAACAAAAAATAGCTTAAACTACTACTCCGTACTATTTATATAATACTAAGGGGCTGTTTGTTTCAGCCTCTTAATAGTTCAGATGTCTGAATGGTTCAGCACTTAATGGTTCAGACTGTTTGATTCAGCCTCTTAATGATTCAGATGTCTGAATGGTTAAGAGATTTGTCTCTGAATGGTTAAGTATTATACTGAATGGTTAAGACCTCTTATCTGAACTAATCAGACATTTACCTCTGAATAGTTAAGCAATATACTAGTTTTTAATGGTTCAGACCTCTTACTGGTTCAGCACTTAATGGTTCAGACCTCTTACTGGTTCAACACTTACCTATTCAGAAGTTGCCAAACAGCCCCTAAGGCTACTAGTATTAGAAAAGCCAAATGGGCCGCCAATTGGGCATGTTGTCTCGGTCTAGTAAATTCCGTAGTTGGGTCACGCTCTCCGGGGTCGATCAATTACTCATATGTAGGTCTATAGTGATCCTAAGGTCCACCAAAGAATTTGTCCAAATAAAAACTCTCCATTAGACTATGATGGGTACATATCAACAACACCTGCCTAGCTAGCTACAATAGATCGAGATGCATGCTTATATACAAAAAAACATTGTGTGATGAATGCATTGGGCCGTGGCCCGTGAGAATGGGTGATGAATCACGCGGGTGGGGGAAGCCTCGGCTGTCGCTTAAGATGTTGTGGGCTTCCTTCATATATAGCCCATAATAAATTGCTTGACATCATCATAATTGGCCCACAACAACAAGCATCTCGATCTTTTCGCATTCTTTTTGTGATGTTGTCTGTTTATAATAAGGGGGATGCTTCTAATTAATTTTCTTTCTTTGTTGGGAAAAAGATGATTTTGTTTAGTTGCTCCTATACCCATCAATGCAATGGGGATATATACTTCTAATTAATTTGTGTTTCATGAACTAACTAAGATGTCTGGCGGGCCTTGTTAATTAATTAATTAATTAATACATGGGACCTCAAATTAGTTTGTATGTATAGATAGACTAGTACTTTGACCCGTGCCACGCACGGGGTCGAACGAATTTTTTATCGATTTTAAAATTTCTATTTAATGGAATATTTTGTCTAGAATAAAAAAAGATTTAAAGACTTCAATGTATGCAATATTTTTAAAATTTTAAAAATTTAATACAATAGACGCCAACACCAAAATAGAATAAATAATATTTGAAGAATTGAAAGTATACTCAACAACATATTTTTTATTTGTAATTATTTTTAAAGACTTCAGTGTATACAATATATTTGTTGTGGTTGTAAGCGGTTATATTGTCATATAGAAAGAATATTTTTAATGATGTCTTAGTAGTAACACGCAATTTCTTTCCCTTGAAGTAGGACTATAATTTTTATACTATGAGGATCGGAGAAATGTTTGTGCCCACAAATATTATTTCTATACTATAGTTTCTTTTACTTATTCACATTCTTTATATAATTTTTATATATGTAGATATGACTCATCACAAAAAATTTATAAACAAAAGCTATATGATATAGAATGACAATGCTAGAATGCAATATACAACAAAAGATCAATTTATTGAAATTTATTGAATTTTAAATTTATCATTGACCAAAACATGTGTTTAAGGTTTTAGGGTAAACAAAATAAAAATTTGTAGACTAAACCATAAAATCATCCACAACGTACTCTTACATGATATAGTCTAACCATATCATGTAAGTCAAACCATAAAACAAAACTCATCAACAAATCAAGTATAATATTATTTTTCTTCGATCTTGTCACTCTTACTTGGTGACTGATTTGTCTCAATCTATCTCCAAGTCATGTCATTTGTTTGTCTTCAACATCGATAAAAGCCACAATCAAGTCCTGCCACAAAATATTAATTTTATTAAATATTGATCTATAATGTCAATCCTTATGTTTATATTAACGGGGAGGGGGGGGGGGGTTAAATGTTAAAGCAATATTGATGTATTAAAGTGAAAAAATCTGGAATTAAAGAGGAAATGTAATGAAAAGAGTATCACATATAGTGTGTAAATGGATGAAGCACAAAAGCACTTATCATTATCATAGATTGACCACCTATCACTTTGATTTTTAAAGGAGGATTACGTTTCAAATGTTAACCATGACGCAAGGGGATGTTACACCAGCTCAAAAATCCAGCATTAGTACTGACCTTTTTGTTTGGCTTGCTTGATCAGAATTTGATGATTGGAATTAGATCCTGGATTTCCATTCAATGAGTGTGTTTGAAATTTTGAGGGAAACAATGCAGATTCTTTAGAGAAATAAGAGATCAGTAAAAAAAATCCGAAATGGTTGGCATGGAGGAAAAATAAAGAAAAAATATAAAAGCTCATGTTCATGTGAGATTACACACCTTTTAATTTATTATGATAAAATTTAGACCCATTTGAGAGCAATGGAATTTCGATCCATCTTCTTCCGTACAACTTTAATCTCATAAAACTTTTCCGCTACCTTAGGTCCTTCGTCGTGGAATCATACATTACAGGGGAAGAGGAAGCACAGTGAGGGACATACCTGGAAGAGTGCACTGCTGATTTTGCACAAAAAATCCAAAAAGTACTAAATGGCATGATCCCAATCCTGTGCTATGGCTAGCCAAAAGGCTGGTGAAGAAGTGTAACATGCTCTTAGGAGAGAGCACATGAATCAAACTCATAAAGACATAATCACATTAATATTAACCTTCTTAAAAGATGGAACCTAAACCATATTATATAACCAATATGTTTTATTTAATTTGCAACAGTGAAAATATGAAGTGCATATGAACATCACAAAATGATGCATTTGGAGCTAGAAACAACTATCATTTGCATATGAACTGGAAGAAGTAAACTAATAGATTGCTTAAATGTTATAGCTAGTTTAGTGAAGTAGGCATATGTTTGTGTCATTCTCTCCGAAAATTGACTTCAATAGTTTAAAATTAAATCTGAATATAAATATATTCATCAACCCATCAAAAAGAAGCATCAAAACTTCATCAAATGATTTCCTTTGTGCTTCAAATGCAATAATCTGTATGAAAGAGATGATCCTCAAGAAGTCAGGATGCATTAATATCCAATAGAAAATTGAATCTTTTCACTGGCTAAGCCTAAATGATTCAATAAATTTAATTATTTTTTAAGTTGCACTTGTATCTATAAGTACCCAATTTTACAAATTTCATTACAGAAGTGAAGAAAGTGTGAATGTTAACAAATAACTCACTTCTTGTGGCAACCCCCATGTTTGGGAGCCCTACCGTCAAGCTTGGCAATACGCAACCACAGATAGCTCAAAAACGTAGTATGAAGTACAACTCATCCATCTGTTGGCATCATATTACTCAGAACCTGTCTTCAACTTCGTCACCTGGGGTCATACTATAGCTAAGGCTATCATTCCTGTAAAAAACTAACATGAATATATTTAATGAGTATGCTAGGCCCGAACACAATGCAAGCAGTATTGAACATTCCCCATGTTTATAGCAAAAGTCAGGCTATCTTAAAGTATTCTGTAAGGTTCAAATTATTCTAATTAATCAGAGTTCCACAATTATCTCAATTTTCATCTCACAGTGATGAGACAATATAATTTTCTATAGCTCTTGCAAGAATAGAGAATCACTTGGGCCTTAATTTCTTGATATCATACATGTATGTTTTATATGGAGCAAATCAAGTAACACAACACATTGCAGTGAGAAACTGAAACAAAATTTCTACTTAAAAGGGGTCTTGCCTTGTGGATTATTTTGTTCTCCTCCGGAATTATGGCACTCCTATGCAAGCTGCATAGGTGATGACTGCCTGGTCGACAACCTGCAGAGAAGTTCTAAAACCATACCATCATGAAAGCATATCAAACACCGTCTTAATGTCTTATCAATGCAAAAGCTCAAACTTTTAAGTAAATATTATAGTATGATGAATAACCACTGGTCAAAAGCTAACAAATTGAAGGAAATAGAACTTCCTAACACTAAGTGTCTCTAAGTGCACGCTTTTTGGCTTATCAGCCATATTTTCAACCATATTAGTAACTTACATGACTGACTAATTTGGTTGGATAACTAAGATGGCAGATAATAATTAGCAAAAACTAAAAGTTGACGTACTTATAGTCCTCATATTTCAGTTTTTATTCCATTTAATTTACTAAAAAGTATATTATGGATGCATTTTTAGACAATATATAATTATCTTAAAGTGCAGGTCAGCAGATGTATGTTCTAAGAATCACATAGACTCGTATAACATGTGGAAATTATATGTGGGTTTTAAAGAGACTGACGACCTTTTTTTACACAATACCATTGAGATGAGAATTAAAAAATGTATTATATACAAAATCATTAATATTATACATACTTACCTCACAACATGTTATCATCTCGGGACATCACAACAGACATTGGATCCAATTTCTCCAAATATGACAATAGTAGCAATGTCCAAAGTGTCAATTACTCCAGTTTTAATCCGTACCTGTTTGTCATCATTCAATGATTGTAAAATCGATACATCTTGTTTTGAATACAAATCAAGTATTAGTTTTTGTGTAAAATAAAGCTAACACAATAAAATGAGTAAAGATTGTAAATGATTTATATATATCAACTATCAATGTGCAAAATTCTTAAAAAACTGACAAAAATACTCCACTATGATCCATTTCATATACGAATTATTTATGATACTACAAAGATGGAATGCAAAAGATTAAAAAGTTTAAGAAAAGAGATTAGAGAAGAAATCTGGATTATTGGATGCACTAAATGAGAAGTTAGAATTCAAAAAGTTGCTTGAATCAAAGACGACGATGTTGGAATAATCCTCATATTAAGGCAACAGGCATGCTAAAGTACTCAAAGTAAATTAACTCAAGACAAAATCATAATTCTACCAAACAATAATTCCTTGTTGGATGGTGTTTCTTCAATTAGACTTTGGCTATATGAATGTTTCAATTGCATCATTTAAGATATAGAATCCAAGTTGTGCTCAAAGAACATTTAACTTGCTTTATCCTGTGGAAGTCCAAACCTTTCGTAGTAACAATACAGTGCTTCTATCAATCTCTTAAACCGTGCACAATTTCTACTCATCTTTCCTTTTTTCTTTCTTTGTCTCTGTTTCTTTTTGTTCCTTTAGGGAGGCTTTGGTCTGGCCCTCATCTCATCGTACTTTTCTTTTATCCTAATAAACTTTTACTTTGTGTAAAAAAATTGTCATTTTTTATTAATAGGTGTCGCATTTATTAGGATACCCTAAAACATAAAATCTGACAAAGTTTCATCATGAAAACAATATAAAATAACACCTCCACACATGAATTTACCAATCCCATATAGCACCAAGACAAATAGAAATATTTCTATTCATCATGCGGGTGAAGTCATTTTACTACTCTTTTATGTGTATTGTTCATATCATTCAGTCTAGTTTCTCAGTTTCCATGTTATCTAGCAATGTGAAAAAGAACAATACACTAAATTAAATCATATTCGAAATTGTCGGAGTATGTAAAAATTCTTTCTCATCACCATATGAGGAATTAGCAATGAATACACAATACAAATGAACAACAAAGAGCCAAAATATGCTTCCTTATTGCTAATTCCATGGTAATACTGATTAGATGCTTACTCATTACCATCAGTCTTCTAGTCTTCTAATCCCAGATAACATATATAGCACCAAAATAAAAGAGTCATACACCAAATCAAATCCCATATATAAAGATTCTTTCACTACTTTTAAGAATCAAGTAAGCCACTTAGTAAATTTGAATGACAAATTTGGAGAGCTATGTCAACAAAGAACATCAATTTTTAAGAGATGCATTTATTTGAATTATGGTTAATTGTAGTATACATATATGCTTAATAAACATGTGTGCTCACACATAAATCAAGCATGTGAGGTTTACACATGTATGCGTTCTCACATACCCTAATTAATCCAACAATCAGGAAAGCATTTTTATATAATATTTAATATGACATGTAAACCTTGATGTCCCGAGCAAGAATTAAATTACTATACCAAGAGAGGGAAATAACAACGCAGAACATGAGTTGTAAGGAGATTCATTTCATTGAATTGTGCTTAATTATTAAAATACAAATATGAATACTTCTAAAGGGTTTTGGATTAGATTTTTGCATAAATTGACCTTCTTACTATAAAATTGCAAATAGGGCAAAAAAAAAACTTGAGTAAACTAAAACTTTAAGGGGAATTGAATTACCTACTCCGATCTCGAAACTTGGAATTCCGAGTTGTGCTATTACTGCCTTCGATTGAAATCCCTTGAAGAAGGAAGGAGACTTGGCAATTGTCCTTCCAAAAAATTGTGAAAGTCATATACCCCGTATGTTTTCATAATTTCAACTGATCTCGGCTTCATTGCCTCCAATTACAATTAAAATTACTATTTTAATTCACTTGTTTCAAAAAATATAATAAAAAAATTTGATACGTAAGTGTAAAAAAAATAAAGTAGTAGTCTTCCATAATAAAAGGAACATGTTTTTAATGATAAAAATTGATTCTTAAAATATTTAAAATGAATTTTAAATTAAAAAATTTAGTTAAAAATTAAAATTACCAAAATACTAATACATAAATATGAATTGAAAAAGATGGAAAGTAATCATTTAAAAAAATAAAGAGGAAACCTGGAAGGTTAGATGGACATGAATCGTATGAATTGAAGATGGCAACGAATGGTGGAAATCAAGCTAATATGCTAGATTGATTTGCTTGTCTCTTGCAGCAAAATAGATAATCAAATTCGTATTGTCCCCATCAATATGAATACTCAAAATGAAGCATAAAGTGTATGATATAATCTCAAACTTTCCATTCCAATTAGGTTGCCAATTAGGCAAATATGCACACAACCGGAAAAAAAATAATCAAGATGTGGAGATTGAAATTTAATTTGAATTGGGATTCACAATTTGATGCTAGAAATTGAAAACTATTCCGAATCCAGATGCGAGGATGCAGATTTGAGTTCCAAAATTTAGTGAAGTTAGGCAAAATAGTTTAATGAATTCATACCAGTTGTAAGTAGCAATGATATTTCTGTGAAGCCGGTGGAGTCCGTGTATTCGGCCGCTGCAATTTCCTCACGGCAGAACGGGAGAAGTTACAGAGATCGGGAGAAGTTACAGCCGGTGCAATCCCCTCTGGGTTGGCCGTGTAATGTTACAGAGAAACGGGAGAAGTATAGAGATTAGAGATGGATGCAATCAGATTTTTTCCTTTGAGTTAGGGATTCTAGTCAATTATTCAAGTGGAGACTTTCCTTTGAAAAATATGCGAAGATTTCAAAGTAAAGAAGAAAATCGTTTATTTCCTTTTGGTATTGCCTCTGTGAATTAGCCGAAAAAAATTGACCGGGCAGATCTGAAATGTTTCGTTGAATTAATGAGTGATGAGGGAGAGACACGTGTAAGGCTTATGTGTCAAAAAAAATAGAATTCTAAAACTCTCACATGTCAAAATTTTAGGCTATCAACTCTCAAATATTATATTAAAGAATTAGAGCCATGTGTGTGTATGTATTACTGTTTGAGGGAGCATATATAATTTAAATAAACACACTAATAGATAAGAACAACTAACACACAAGTAGGGATGGGATTATTAGGATAAGCACCCACCTCATTGTCTTAATCCTCTATTAACAATAATTTCCATCCATCTATCACCTCCCTTTATTCTTCTATCATATTCCCTAATCCTATTTCTTTCTCTTTAACATATTGTTTGGATAATAAGAAAATGAAAGAGAAAGAAAAGTACGGAGTATTAATTAGAAAATACTCTCTTCTCTTAAAAACGGTTATTAATTTGAATTGACACAAAGTTTAAAGAAAATTAAAAAAAAATGTGTGGTGCAAAATGTCTTTTTAAAAAGATAGAAAGATAACGAGCTACTTAAAATTCTCAACAAAAAAGGAAGAAAGGTTAGAGGATGTGGTTTTTGGGATATCCTAAAAAACTAAAGTCTTTTTTTGAAATAATGGAGGGAGTACATTTTCTAAAAAAACTTTCTCTTGTTGGTTTGCAAAAAAGTGGTGAGAAAAAGGAATTAAACTGTAGACCGTATCATTCATTTCTTTGGGTTAAATTGGCAACTTCATCTTCACATTCGTTTTCGAAAGAATATTTTTTGTTAAAATGACGAGTTTGTCCTCCATTTACCTTTTCTTTTCTCATCATTTTCTTTATTCTCTCCATTATATCCAAATAACATGCAAAGTAAATTTTCTTCTTATTCTCAAATTTTTTACTACCATCAAGTCATTCCCGTTTCAAAAAAATTGCGGCCCTTAAAGTCATTTCCATTTCTATTAAAAAACCACTTTTACCCCTTATTTTTTCATATCCTACCTATCACATCATACCTTTTTTCTAATAATCTACATATCACATCAAGGGTATTTTTGAAAAGTCAACACAAAATTATCACTCTTTATTTTACCACTGTAGTCAAACCGTCCCTATCTTTATGGGACGGAGGGATATCATTTTTACTATTTGTATGTTTTTTCCTCCCATTTTCTCTTCCCTCAGCCTCTAAAAAAATGCTAAGAGAATCTGGATGTACATCAACTGTATTTTGTTAAGAAATTAAAATTGTACGTATACAAAGTATGCCGTTTTTAATTTAAGTCATTCTTTATTAAATACGGAGTACTTAAACACTCAAAAAGATACGGGGTACTTTGAACTAGCTAATTAAGCCCCACAATACAATGTATTTTCTGATATAGTTCATGCATGGATCTTTGTTTCGTTGAAAACAACCAGAGGAGGAGATCAGGGTTCATCTTTTTTTTTTGTTTTGTTGAAAACGAGTAATAATAATGTGTCGTTCTTATAAATAATTTGGGAGTACAATTTTGTAGGGTTGGTCCATAAAATTTCAAGCCCATCTACTAAGAATACCAAAAGGAGACGGTTATAGAAAAATTTAAAATTAGTCCGGTTATTTAATTATTAGACATGTTTTGATTATTAATTAAATATAATTAATATTAGGTGTACGTTGATAGAATAAGAACCCATAAAATGTGAGATGTGAGGCCAGATCATGAAATAGACTTGTAAAGAGAGGGGGGTCAAATAGGGCGCGTCAAGTCAAGCAAATTAAAGATAAGGTGTGGGGGGGNCGCTTGAATCTTGCTCTGTGGCGATATAAATAGCCCGAATTGCACAACTAATCCGCGTTCTATGAAAAAAACAGAGAGTTGAAGAATTTGAGAGATTAGAAAAATGGGTGGTGAAGTGGCTATATATGTTGCTGATGATCATAATGATGGTTGGGATGAGTATGAATACGATTTGGAATCATCATCGTCCTCGTCATCAAGTAGTAGTAGCAGTAGTAGTATACGTGTATGCAGAATCTGCCACGAGGCAGAAGAAGAAGAAGAGTTCATTATTATTATTATTAATAATGGAACCTCATCTGCTTCTGCTGCTGCTTATAACAATAACAATAATAATAATAGTATAATGGAATCTCCTTGCTCTTGTTCTGGTACTATCAAGGTATATATATCTATCTATAGCTACTTCCTCCCTTTTTCCATATTTCAAAACACTTCTGCCCTAGCCTAATTTTTCGATCAAAACACTTAATTGTACGGAGTATGTATATATATATATATATTCCACTTATTAATGTTTATGTATGTATGCAGTTTGCACACAGAGAGTGTATACAGAGATGGTGCAACGCAAAGGGCAATACTGTTTGCGAGCTTTGTTCCCAGGTTGGTCTCATTTAAGACGTAGAGGCAGATAATTAATAATGGAGTATTAGAATATATATATATATATATATATATATATATATATATATATATATATATATATTAGTTGTTGTATGTGTTGAAATGGAAGCCAGAATTGAAATTAGATTAGATTAGGTACACCAAAACATTCCAACGAAACCGTTCTTATTACACCTGGATGCTGACCAAATAATTTCTTCTTCTTTTATTTATATAATATACTCATGAATAATTCAACAATAAAAGAATTTGCAGTGTATATAATTCTTCACATAATACGACAAGAGTTGTCATCCATGAATTGATTGCCTAAGATTCTCTTTTTTAGGGTGTGTTTGGTACACGAAATTGGTAAAATTGAAATTTGAAATTCTATAAGATTTAATTCTCCAAAATTAATAAATTTTGAAAACTAATTAAATGAATTTATCTTATAAATTGATCAAAGAAAAGTTTTATTATAGTTACCTTAGAAAATATTTTCAAAATATTTATTTAGCTAATTAGTATATATAGTGTGTAATTTTAATTTAATTATATGTCAAAGATCGTTCTGAGTTGACTACTACCTACGTCTCTGAGTATTTGTCCAGTTTTGACTTTTTTCAATCAAAATTGGCAATCAATTAAATAAAGTTGGCATTAGATATTAACACAAAAATATTTTTTTAGATGCATTTTATACAATATTTTCAAAATATTATTTTACCTAATTTACATACTCAATAATTTTGATTTTATTCGAGATCAAATGTTAAAAATAGTTGACTGAAAAAAGTCAAAATTAGACAAATACTCAGGGACGATAGAAGTATAAAATATCCCAATTGGATAAATAATAGGGGAGGGAGGGGTAACATTTTGAGAAAGTGGATAAGGAGAAGAATAATAATGACACGCACTCATGCAATGAATTGAAAGAATGTTTGTTTGTCGCTATTTAATTAATGACTCCAGATTATTAATTTATTATTATATTGACAAAGACGACATTATTATAATATTTTATTCCAATTTACGATCGAGCATAATTATATGTTGTTGTTTGTTTGTTTGTATGTAACTTTACAGAAGTATGAACCTGGATACACGGCTCCTAAATTGGTTGGCGCAACCACTGCAGCGGCCATTAGGTACGCACTTTAATTAATTGATTAGTTAATTAATGACTTTTTTAATTCTTAACCCATCACGTGCATGATATTTTACTCATCACATCAAGGGTATTTTAAGAAAATCAATGTACCCATCTCTTAAATTTCCTATTGTTATATTCTACTCCCCCGTTCTCAAATACACTCCCTCTTTCATTTTTTTCCACTTCCAACAAAACACTTCTCTTTTCTATTAAAAAATCACTTTTATCTTTACTTTTTCATGCCCTACCTATCACATCTTACTTTTATCCATCACACCAGGGGCAAAATTGGAAATCAATTATACTTCGTATAATTTAACACTTTCTTATTTTTGCCCCAAATCAAAATGAAAAGTCTTTTTTGCAAAAGGAGGGAGTATATTTATACATAAATAGAAATATTTATGATCAAAATAATCTTGCATTAAAAGGTGTAAAAGATCAAATGAAAAGAAAGACATGAGAGGGAGATCGAGAATATAGTAATTAACAATTTGTAATACATACTCGGTGATTAAATGTGAGTACAAATTAAACTAAATGAATTATTGCATGACAACAAAGAGGGAGCGTGGAGATCCCAATAAGTTCAGAGGATGATGACGAGGAGGAGGAGGACAGCGCTACCATTTGTTCATCATCACCAGCTGATGATGATGATGATGATGATCGTAATCATCAACGCCGCCAACGCTCTTCCAATTCATGTTGTACATCATTGGCCCTCATTGTAAGCATATACTCCCTCCCTCCCTCACTTAAAATCTTTCTCTTTTTTTCTTTCATCTGTCTCAAAGAACACTTCTTATTTCTATAAAAATAGTCACTTTTACACCTTACTTTTTCATACTCTACCTATTACATCATACGGAATATTATTTTACTAATAATCTACCCATTAAATCTTATTTTTACCCCATCACATCAAAAGAATTTTTTGGGAATTCCATAACAAAATACACCTCCCTTAAATCTATTAAAAATCAATAACTCGCACATAATACTCTCTCCGTCCTACAAAACTTTTTTTCTTTTTTTCATTCGTTTCAAAAAAAAATTCTCTTTTCTATTAAAAAATCATTTTTATTCTTACTAATTCTTGACATACCAATCATATCACACTTTTTCACTATTAATCTACTCATCACATCCAATGATATTTTTAGAAAATCAAGATCAAAATACATTCCCTTTAAATCTTTTAAAAATCAAACCAAAAAGATTTTGTGGAAGGGAGAGAGTATATATATAATTGTTTGGAATTATATAAATTGCATGCAGATCACGTTGTTGCTTCTAGTGAGGAATGTATACGAGGAGTTGGTCGTAGATGAAGAAGAGAAGTATGATGATCCACCATTTTCGATTCCAACTGTGAGTAAATTCATTCATAATTACTCCACGTACTAGATATGTACACCCATGCATGCATCAGATGATAATGAATTGATGATTGTGGTTGTGGTGTGTGTATATATATATATATATACACACACACACCACCACTTTCTATTAAAAAACCACTTTTACCCTTACTTTTTCATATCCTACCTATCACATCATACTTTTTCTCTAATACTCAATCCATCACATCTTACTTTTACTCATTACATCAAAGGCAAAATTGGAAATCAATTACTCCCTCCGTCCCAAAAAGAATGAGACGGTTTGACTTTTTGGAAAATTAAGGGAAAGATATTTTGGTATTGAATTTCCAAAAATACCCTTGATGTGATGAGTAAAAGTAGGATGTGATGGGTAGATTATTAGAAAAAAGGTATGATGTGATAGGTAGGGTATGAAAAAGTAAGGGGTAAAAGTGGTTTTTTAATAGAAATGTAACGGACTTTACGGGACGCAGTTTTTTCTAAACGTAACAAACTTTTTGGGACGGAGGGAGTACAATTTACACTTCCTTATTTTTATACAAAATTAAAATAGGAACACTTTTATAGAACGGAAGGAGTATGTAATATGGTGCATGAATGCATGCAGGTTTTGATTCTGAAGGCAAGTGGGATATTCCTCCCCATGTTTGTCCTTTCTCGGATACTCGCCTTAATCCTCAATACTATTCGTAATTATGGTCGCCAACCGCCCCAAAGCTCATATTACTAAGCTGTTAGTATATTTTTAAATATATTTGTGTTCTTATTTTTATATTTGTGTTAAAATATATATTTTTTTCATTTAATTATGATGAAGTACTTTTTAAAGGTTCCGAGTAAACGAAAGATGCGACGTGAGATCGTATCGAGGAAAAGTTCTTTGCGCCGATGAACAAGGACGTCTCGTAGCGTACCCGAGACCAACTCACTTCCAAAAGGGGTCACATCAACCGTAAAGTCCAAAAGTTTATTGGAGTTTATGAGGAATGCTCTCGGTCCCAAAAGAATGGGATGAACGATGCAGTGTTCTGCGGCAAGCCATCGCCCGACATTAAGACGACGGGCACCAAAGCAAGATCCTCATCGATCTTTGGAGAATTTTAAGCCATTTACCAAAATAACAACAACTCAACAACTCCGAGACCGGATCCTCAAAGAAAAGATCCTCCGCCGAGGTTGAGACCGATGAGACTATCGGCTCTTCGGAACAAAGTTCTCCCTTCAACCTCGACGGCTCCGAGGACGAGGACCCCATTCCACGGCGCAATAGAAGGAAGAGATCAAAATAATGGAAACCGACCTTGATACGTTATCGGACTTTAAACATATATTTTACGAGAAAAGACAAAAATAGATCAATTCCAAATATACTTCGCCTTAGTTTTTTTATTAATACACTTTTTTTTTATTAAATGTAATTTTTTTATTGAATGTACTCCTTGCGTTCTTGAAAATACTTCCGTTCTAATTTTTTGTGCACCCTATAAAATATTTTTATTTTATCTAAAATGTATAAAATAGCTCTAAAATAACTTTTATCCGCAATAAACTACATAAATATAGTGGAATAATTCCAGAGTTTGTGGGTAGATGAGAGCGGAATGCATTGATTGTTAGATCAGATATATTATTTTCCAAAACTAGTCAAATCTTTGACTAATAATCTTTTGAATAAAATCCCAAATATAGAAAAAAGGTGTGATTTTTTCACTCTAATTTCTAAAACCCTCGGATTTAAATTTTAATTTTTTTCTAACGAATAACAACTATCGAATAAGGTAGAATTTGGAAGGTGATCTTTTGGAAATTTTATTTTGACTGATTGAAAAACCTCCCCAGACCGATACAAATTAAAATACTTCTTTCGTCTCATTTTATATTTTCTGTTTTGAATTTGGAACATATTTTAGGAAGTGAAAAAATATTGTTGAGTTTCCAAAAATGCTCTTACTTTTTTAGGGGGCAACGATGAATGAGAAGACAAAGTGGAGAGGAATATCTTATTTTACGGATATTTTAGGTATTTTACTTTTAAAAATTTACTATATGCAACTTATTTTGGGACGGAAAAAAGAAAATAGATAATTTAAAATGGGACGGAGGAAGTACCAAACGAACAGAATCTTGCCGTTCCAAAAAAAGAAAATCAGTATTTGATTCTTTCCATCTTTAAAAAATCTTAACTATTTGACTTCCTCCATTCCAGATAACCTACACTCTTTGACTTTTTTCTCAAAATGTCATAAATTTTAATTGCTTATCATCAAAAGGTATGATTTTTTAAAAAAAACTTTAAAAAGTATGTTTAGTTATAATACAAATTTACTATAAGTTGGTTTATTTTAAAATGTAAATTTTATTTATCAAACATTTATAATATCTATTCACTTAAAATTATATTTTTTTAATAGTCAAAGTATACAAAAAAATTAATAAAAAAAAGTCAAACATTAATTTTTTTAGATAGAGGAAGTAATTATTTATTTAGACGCATTCATTTATGTGGAACTTACCAAAATAGCACTAAAACACAATGACTTTCTCTAAATAGCACCATATGTTATTATTTTCTAATGTAGCACTTTTAGTCATTATTCAAGTAAATGTTCACCATCATTGGACATTATTCCTCTTTCTAGACATTATTTTAGGGAACAAAAAATTTTAAATCTAACGTTGGGAAATGTCTTATGTTTTAGTATTATTTAGTACAAATATTTCTTTATTTATTTATTTATGTGTGGGCGTGTGGAGAGAAATATAAACGGAGTACTCCAGTATATAGTTATATACCCGTACGTGGGCGCGTGTAGCATGGCAATTTGATAAGGAGTACTACAAATTCACACAACATAACATTAAAATATACTCCCTCCGTTCTATAAAAGTGTTCCTATTTTGACTTTGTGTAAAAATAAGGAAGTGTTAAATTATAGTTGACTTCCAATTTTGCCTTTGATGTGATGGGTAAAAGTAAGATGTGATGTATTGAGTATTAGAGAAAAAGTATGATGTGATAGGTAAGGTATGAAAAAGTAAGGATAAAAGTGGTTTTTTTTATAGAAAGTAAACGTGTTTTGTTGAAAGTAAAAAAAAGGAAGAGTTTTTGAGAACGGAGGGAATATACTCGGTAGCTTTAGTAGTAAACAGAATCTACGGTTGAATAATGATCAAGTAGAAAAAGGGGAAAGAAATCTTTTGTTTCTTTTGCATGAATGATAGGGAATTAAATGAATTGGATTCTTTCCTTTTCTTTTTTTTTCTTCTTCTTTTTATTTAGTTGCTTGTGTGTTATATATTCCTTTTAAGGTTTTTAGGTCTTTGTTAACTAACTTTCTCCGTTTTGTTTTTCCGTGGCCAAAGGTTGCCGACACGGTGGTGCCCTACAATGCGACACTCTCTCTGTGCATCGATCAGTTGGTTGCTGGTGAGTGTGTATGGTGTTGGATAATGAGAGGCTCGATCTCTAGCTAGATGAGTAGTAGCTCCCTGCAGAAAAGGGCAATTTCCTGCTGGAATGATTTTCTATTTCTCTGAATAATTTGACCAAAACTCATTGGACCATATCATGGCGAGGCGGCAGCAGCTAATTCCCCCATTAATAACAAGGAGGCCCATTTGCTGTTCTATCACCCTCGTGCGTATTAAATTTGAAAATATAACTTTTTTTTTCCACACACACACACACACACACACATATATTCTTTTGGTTGGACGACGTATAAACATGCATGCTTGAGTGATGTTTGTGCATTGTTTTGTGCAGTGCTTTGTGGCAGTGGCGATTACTGTTTTGCTCATTCTCGTGTCCATTAGGGTTGCTGACGGCATTAAGGTTATTCAAATGCTTCCGATGATATCCTTTAAATATACAGTTTTCATAGTATTGAAATTTTGTAGAGGTGTGTGTGTGTGTGTGTATTAGGGACATGTACTTAGCAGGGGAGGATTAGGGACAGAAAGGCGGCTTTGGAGGGACGTAATAGCAGGGGCGGTTCTGGTGGGGATGAACGTGTGCATCACGGTGGGGTGCGTCGTTGGATTCACCTGCTGGAGCATAACGGTGACGAGGCGAGAGATGTGGGGGCGGGCGGAGCGCATCAGGCAAATGGAAGCTGCCTGGGAGGCGGAGAGGAAGAGCATGAGAAAGATTGACGCGTTTGCCGGTGCTAGCCACGAGGTCCGCACCGCTCTCGCCGGCATCACCGGCTTGATTCACATGTGTCGGGCCGAGGCCGCTCCCGGCTCCTCCTTGGATTTCAATCTCAACCACATGGAGTCCTGCACCAACGACCTCAAGAGTATGTAATTTATAAGCTTTCTCAACCTTGCTTGTAACTATTATTATATCGTAGCTAGGCCACAAGAAAGCTATGTTTTATATATATAGACTGTAATAGTAGTAGTAACATTCATAGATATGTCTTCTATAGGCTTGTTGAACTCAATCCTGGACACGAGCAAGATTGAGTCGGGGAAGATGCAAGTTGAAGAAGAGGAGTTTGATTTACAGCAAGTGCTGGAAGATGTTGTGGACCTATACTATCCCGTGGGCATGGAGAAGGGGGTGGATGTCATATTGGATCCATGTGATGGGTCAGTTGAGCATTTTAGGGAGGTCAAGGGGGACAGAGGCAAACTCAAGCAGATCCTCTGTAATCTCTTGTACAACTCCATCAAGTTCACCGACGATGGGCATGTTTCCCTTCGCGCTTGGGCGGTAGCACCAAAATATCCCACAACTAGTAGCGCCACTAGCATCCACAATCGCAGTGGGAACAGCAGGCCTTTCAGTTTCGCTTCACGTCTCCTTTTCGGAAGCATTTCACGCGGTAAAGCTGCTGCAACATCAGCAGCAACAACAGAAACAGGACTTGAAAACAATGGCAGGGATGTGATGGAGTATGTATTTGAGGTGGTTGATACAGGGAGAGGGATTCCCAAGGAGAAGCACAAGTTTGTGTTTGAAAACTACGTCCAAGTCAAAGAAACAAGTGTGAGTGATAATCATGGGCATTTAGGTCACGGTCTAGGGCTCGGCATTGTTAGGTCTCTAGTGCATTTGATGGGCGGGGAGATTGGCATCATCGACAAGGAAATAGGGGAAAAGGGGACTTGTTTTAGGTTCAACATATTCTTGGGAAATCCCCGTCATCCTCCGGGTAATTCAACAAGACAGGATATCGAGTCGTCCCCATGTATTTACGGTTACAAGTGTTGGCCCTCATCCAAAGTTACATCCCAGGTTGTTCTCTTCATTCAGAGCGAAGAAAGGAGTGAAATTGCAAGGAGATTCCTAAGAAACCGGGGCATTAAAGTCACTGTCATTACCAAGGGATATCAGCAGTTGAGCAAGACACTAAAGAAGATCAAATCTAAGCTTTTCGTTCCATCCAAAAGTGGTCAGCCAACAACAAGTAACTCTCAGTCATCAGCTTCTTCTACACCTTCATCCTCAAGGTCAAGGTCAAGATCAAAGGAGGTGGTTCACGATGCTAAGGATGGAACACGAGATACTATGGTGTTGATGATAGTAGACACGAGAGCAGGGCCATTCCCAGAAGTGAGTCGCACAGTTGCCGAATTCCAAAGGGACCTACTCCAACGAGGAGGATTTCCTAGAGTTGTTTGGATAGACATCTCAAGAGCACATGACAACAGGGAGAAGCTGCTGCTTCCCTCCACTGATCTTATCATGTCCAAGCCTTTGCACGGATCCAGTTTGAATCAAATTTTAGAGCTTCTTCCCGAGTTTGCATCATCAACCAAACGTACGTGTTGAGCAATGTATCTTCAATTTCTGCATGTGCCTATGTGACAATGAATAAGCCTAACATGACTGCCTTTCTTTATTAGCTTTTCCCCAATCATTCATTCCTTCAGGAGAGATACAGGTGGTAATCGACAAAGAAAAAGATCATGATGAGTGTGGTCCAAGCACGAGAGGCGACACTGCGGCACAAAACAAGCCATTGCAAGGGAAAAGAATCTTGATAGTTGATGACACTCCGTTGCAGCGCAGAATATGCATCGCGGTAGTTTCCCAACTAGGTGCTCAAAGCTACACCTGTGACAATGGTGCAGAAGCTGTGGAACTTGTGACTGGGGCACTACAGAATTGGGATAACCAACACACTTTTGATTACATCCTAATGGATTGTGAGGTAAAAAGTGCAACCTTCCATTTTTAGAGTTCTCTGCTTCATAAATGAATCACCCCACCATCTAAAAAGTAGTAGAGGCACATTTTTTGTTCTGAAGAAAGAAAAAGAAAAAGAAGAAAAAACTCCCAAACCCAAAACCCACCCCCACCCCCCATTATTGTGTAGATGTTTTTTTCCCATGAACTTGATTACTTACATGAGATTATCTATTGTCACTACCAATATTTAATTACAAAGATAACTAATCTACGGTCACTACCTACCTAAACACCGGACAATGCGCATAAAGGAAAAGGGGGAAGCAATGGGGATACGGATTCCCATCATTGCTCTCACAGCACATGCAGGAAAGGAGGAGATGGACAAGATCACTGGCGCTGGGATGGATTACTACTTACCCAAGCCCCTCACATCTGTCAATCTTCTAACAGCTATACAGTACTTAGACAAAGCATAAAAAACTAACAAGAACTCTCTAATTTCTGCATCTTTCACTTTTATATATGATGATGTCTCTGTTGACCTTTTTTTATTAAAAAAGAAAGACAGAATGTACTAATTTTTTAGTTGTGTCAGTTGTACCAGTTGCTAATTTGCTATGATAATAATAAAAAAAGGTCCAAGAAAGTCCACACTAAACATACTTTTTGCAGATGTTGTAGCATGGACTACAAGAATAAAAATGTAGGGTATGGGCTATGGGCAAGCTGGTGTGAGTGATGATTGGCTTGCCGCTTGCGTATATGAGAATAGAGGGGATGGAAAGGGCTTTCCCTTGAACTTCAACAAAAAAAATTACGAGGGAATGATAATAACCTCACAGTTTTGAAAAGTGATCTGCAAACCAATCTGACAGCCGCTTCATCTTTACTGCCACTGCGGTATTTTTCCCAAAGTAATCCTTAGCATTCCCGAGCATCACTCTGACATCATGCTTTAAAGCCTCCAAGCTTCTATAATAATTATTTTCCAACCTCGAGTGGATTATGTCAGGGGATAATGGAACAGGAAACCTGAAAGCATCATATTTTATTCTATTCATCAGTATACGCTATCAACTTGTTTGGTATTGACATTCATAAATACGAAGAATACCTGTTTATATATTCTACTTTCCCAGCTACGTTTATTAACTGCAGAATCCCGTAATAATCCTGAAACATCCAAAGATATTTAGTTTATTACTCCGTATGTTTAAGGAGTGTGCCAATTACTTGTAGTACTCCCTCTGCCCAATTTATTTTGTCTGTTCATCTTTCTTGACCAAAGTTTGCACATAAAGTACATTTTATTATATTGTGAATTCAACATCATTAAATTCATTTGGAAATATTATATTGTATAATTTTATTTATGTACAAATAGAGTTAATAACTGTCAAACTGTTGCAGTAACTATAAAATGGGACAGAGAGTAGTAATTAGGAGGGAATACCTGATTAGTATTTGCACGGTGCAGCAATTTATTGAGAGCACTCAGCATCCTGTTGTTGCTTTCTGGATCAATATGTGGATGCTCCCAAAGGGAATATGGATCTTGCAGTTCCCAGGGACAGTGAAGATGGGTATCTGTTTCGTCACTGTTATACTTAACAACATATCTTTCCCATGGACTCCCTGGGAACTCATTTGATTTGTCTTTGACAGATACTATCTTACCATCCCACCATCTACCACCATTTTCCTCATTCTCGTCCCTCCACCAGACTTGACACTCATCTCCACACGCCCAAGATCTTTTCACTGCTGCATCATACCGTGATTTCTCAACAATAAAGTCTGGGAAGTCATTTAGTTCTGGCACTGTAAGTTTGAATTTCTGGTCAAGTACAGTAGAAGATGGATCGATGAATTTTAGTGTGATTTTACAACAACTCTCTCCAGAACCAGGGACAGTTGCATAACTAAGTTCTTCAACCAAGCAGACTTCCACAGCTCTGATTCTTGCCCCATGCTTTTCCCAAGGGCATCGCGCCAATGATTGGCTAGAGTCTATATATTCTTGATGGCCCTATTGATCACAGAAAATGACTTTAAATTGCATGGAAACTAAAGTTGTGTTCTGACTGGAAAATAGTAGGGAAAGGAAGAAAATGAGGCCAATGAAAATACTTTTGTATGTTTGGTTTTACCCCGTGTCGATTGCCAATTGAACTAAAGAATCATTTTGTTGCAATGTTTTAGCTTAGATGGAGCATCCAATGCATCAAGGGTCTGACACAAAAATCTCTGCTTTTTATAGGGGTAAAATTACATACATCTTGACCATTCAGACCCAATAGAATTGGGATTATATTGGGTTTGTTTTGTACATTTGGTTTTACATTGGAAAAAATAAGGGAGTTCAAAAGTTGATGAGAACTTTTTAAAATTCCTCCTCTTTTTTTCTTACTTGTGTCCTTTCCCTATGATTTTCTGGGTTCCAGATGACCCTATCTAAAACAAAATTAACATGGAAAAAAAGAAACAAATAGCACAATTAGATGACACACCTGTCTCAAGTATGCTACTTCATCACCTAGCTGAGGTATGTAGCGATACCCCTCTTCTTTCTTTGACAACAATAACCAGTCTGATTTTCTTGGTACATTGGTGAAGCGGTTTGGATAAACCTTTTCATCATTGTAAGAAACTTCTTCCTTGCTCCTAGAAGTTGAAACTCCATCTGATGTGAAAAAATTAACTGCTCTCTGGGAAAGGTTATCAGAATCAATTTCTCTTGAAGCTGCTTTCAATCTTAAGGTCCGTTTTTTCCTCGTTGCATCTGTTACAGAATGCAGATAGTCCATTGAAGATTTTCTACTACACTTGCTTCCATTAACAGCATTATCCATCTCTAGATGTACACGCTGCAAACAGTCTGGCTCGTTGGTGCCATTGCCGGTTCCAGACAATGTTAGAAATCTATTCCTTTCCTTGCTCGGCCTTGAATCATCCTCACAAGAAACATCCATGGGTGTAGAAAATGTATTCTCCAAAGGAGCTCTCAACTCCCCAGGAACTGTCCTTGATTTAATTTTTAGTATGGTTGGCTTCAATTTAGGCTTCCCATTCATTTGAGGAGAAAAGTTGTCAGAGGTATTATTATAAGCCCCAGCTTTAATATGCGCCTGATTATAAGAACATCCAGAGACCTCATCATCATGTTGCCTATGGCAATCACTGGTTCTTTGCTTGCAGATCTCTCCTGGCAACATATGCTCCTCATCTTTAATTCTAAAATCAGCAGATGCCTTTCCGTATCCATTATCAAGACTGATATGCTCTTTTGTATTGATATTGTTGACAAAATTTCCAGGAGAACCAATGAATGAACCAGCACGTGCCAAATCACCTGACAGGGTTTGACTGGAAGTGTTTGCTTTGACTTCTCCAGACGCACTCACTGGGTCCTGGTAACCTTCGGACATTTTCATATCCCCGGACAGTATGTTGAGGTCTTCAATCTCAGTATACTCAGCTCTTTTCTTGTTTTCAGATGCATCAGAATCAATTCTACATGAGGAAGCTGATCCAAGATCCATGGACTTCTTTTTAATGTTATTATTTTCAAGATTTTTGTCTTCGCCAACTCTTAAAGAAGAAGATGCTGAAAAGGTCTCACCACCAGAATCTGTGTTGGAGAGTTTTAATGGCACAGGCTTCTTAGCATCACGAATGGAGAACTTCAAGACTAGTCCCCTCTTTTTTTCAACATTTACTTGTGGTTGGGAGCATGTTGGCAGCTCATCTGAAGCGGGTGTCTGTTCATCTGTCAAATACTTCACACAGTCCTCCTCCAACATGCCATCAGAATCTTCACTCTGAACAAATGAGCCCTCCTGTGAATCATTCTCTGATGAATAGTAATCTGAGCTATCATCATCCTCTTCGCCTGTAGACAAATCAGAATGATGTAGAAAAACATTGTTTGCATAGCGCGTGGCAACTCGTTGTGGTCTCAATGGCTTTGGTTTTTTAGAATTCTTCTTAGCAGTCTTTCGACCCTTTCTTGATTTTCCGGTTCTTTTACTTTTTGATGAACTAACGTCCTTGTCTATTATTCTCTTCCTTATGCGCTTTCCTGAAGAGGTCACACACTCAATCTGAAAGCCAATGAAAACATTTCACAAACATGCAAGGGCAGACAGTGCAACAGAAGTGTTTTTAATGTTAGTACTTACTTCTGAAATGGATTTTTTCCTTTTTGACCTCCGATTGTGACTTTGTCTTATCTTCTCATCTTCACTGCAATCTGGATCACTAGAGTTTCCGCACAAATGTCCCTTTTCTTCACTGGAACATTCCTCGTTGATAATGTATTCTGAATCAGTGTCATCATTTACGACATCATTTTCAGGTTCCCAGTTCATAGCATCCAAAAACTCGGGCAGAGGTTCAGCGACAATGTCCAAATCAGCCAAGGGCAATACTTGGTATTCTTGGCTCAAACCAGCATAAGTCCCAACTGCAAATTTTATGGAAGTAGGGCGCCATTCGAAGCCTAAAGCTCCAAGTCGATGTCGTTGGTATATGCTTTGATACGGTTCGGGATATGGAATCATACCTAAAATTGATCATTTTAAGTTCATTGACTAATAAGGGAATATTGCTATAAAGAGAATCTTATAGATTGAGTCATGTTATACTTGAATCGCAAAGAGGATCCTGCAAATTACGTCGGTATGGAGCCAATTGTGTTTCCTGCATCACATAAAGCACGTGCCTGAACTTGAGATGTTTGATAGGCTATAAAACAAGTCAATGTAGTAGTGTCATAGCCTGCTGACACTAAGGCACAGGTCAAGCATAGACATTAGGAGTCTCTCTGTACATGAAGGCTGTTCACAGGTTTGGATTCTTGGAACTATCTCCTATAGTACAACTCAAATTATTCTTCATACTTGCTCATATCAAATTCCCCTAAAGCAAATGAAATATGCCACACTGATACATGCATGATTCATTGGTATTATTATCATTAATATTAATACTATTATTATCCCCCCCCCCCCACAATGCATGTTTAATATGTAATCTCTTCAATGTTTGGGGTTAGAAAGAAAATCAACCTGAATGATAACTCGGGGTGAACACTATTGTAAAAGAGTATATCAAGGCAGTAAAAGTTTTTGGAATTAATAGTATTAGTATTTGCTAATGTTGCTTAAAGGGGGGAAATGAATTAGCATAAAAGGTATAAGGTTAGATACCTGATCAATAACATTCTGATGTGCATCCCGGATAAGGGGTCTATAATCCCCAAGAAAGAACTGTTGAAACTCAAAAAATAAAAAAATAAAAAAGAGGATTACATGCTCAGTCAATAAACACAAATGAAACAATCATGTACCTTCATCCCAATAATATTGGGGTTGGTGGCATGAATTTTACAGTGACAATTAAAGCATAGTGGATTAGTGGCAATGATTTACACAACATGCCCTTTATAAAGCACAGCATTTTACGAAGTCTGGGATGAAATTGCAAAACCGTCATCATCAAAGGTTCCATTCATTTAATGGAAAATATTATGAGATGGAGGTAACTTGAGATAGTTGTTATAACCACATCCCATTACAAGATTGATATTGTAAAATCAACATGAATATTCATACCACATGCCCAAAAAACACAAGCAAAACTGGTAAATATACCTGATCATATTTTGCATCCTTCTGAGACTCACCTTGGCCTGTGTTTAGAAGGTATATTTGCCCGACATCATCTGAAAGGACAATTGATGTTCCATCCCTGTTGCAAAGGATAAAAGCACACCTTGTTTCATTAGCAATAAGATAACAACACCATGTTATCAGTAAATACAAAAAGAGGAACTAAATAAGTATATGAGTCCATCCTATAATCTTTAGCTAAAAAAACTATTGAAACAACCAGTACGCTCTCCCATGTGGTGTGTCAGAAGTGCATATCACGCATTTAAAACTTGTCAAACCACAGGAACTGCCACATTTTATGTATGATAAACTACTTACTGCGAAAACTTTCCATCAACCAGCTTAAAACGTCCGATCTCGTATGTTCGGATAGGAGTACCCTCCCATATCTATAAAAGGCAACAGAGATTTCATTGAGGAAGAGTGGATTGTATTAAGAAAATAGCAAATACCAATAAAAGAACAAAAAACTCACATCCCACAAAATTGTTTGCCCATCATAACCAGCACTCATTGCAATTCTGGGGTTGAAAGGATGAACATCCAAGACATAAGTCTACCAGAAAACACAATTTAATCATTAAGTCACTAGAAAAAGGTCAAAGAAATGATATGTTTCTAGAATTAGAGTGTCCTTCTGGAGGCTCTTTCCCAATGAAAATCACAAGGCTACATTTTATTTGGGGGTGTCCCAAAAAATATGGTAACGGCAACAACAACTTACACAGTGTTGTATGGCATTTGTGAGTTGTATCACTTGTATGCCCAACAAATGGGGTCAGGGATGGATGTACGCATACCTTACCCCTACCAACAATAGGTAGAGAAGTTTCCGAAAGACCTTGGCTTTCCCAAAAATGATGGCATCTAAGGAAATCTAACATACTGAAAATTCTATTGTACAACCGTAGGTAGAAGAATATAGTGCATACACTTCAAACTAGTGAGCAATTCCTTTATAGTTAGAGTCTTAGAGAGCATTTAAGTTTCCTTTAGCATGCAATGATTGTACACTTAGCGAGTAGTCAACAACAACAACAACCCAGTTAAATCCCACAAGAGTAGGGTCTGGGGAGGGTGTGTGTATGCAGACTTTACCCCTACTCAAAAGTAGAGAGGCTGTTTCCAAAGAGACCCCCAGCCCCAGCTCAACGTCGAAAGTTGCATTGCTTGACTAACTACTACTTCATTAATTAAAGAAGCGCAGACAGTTTAAAGATCCATTTTGATTTATTCCATCACACCCCAATGCCAAAAAATGGTGAAATTTTGGCTTTCAGCACTTAGCAAGTAGTCCTAAGAACTTATTTGTCTTTATAAGCACATTACTTCCATTTAGTGAGCAATTCACTTTTACCGGTGAGCATATACTCCCTCCGTCTTTGAATGAACTTTATGTTTTCCTTTTTTGGACGTCTAAAAATCAACTTTACACTTTTCCCACTTTGTCTTTTAGGAATCAAATGTGTGGACATCTTTAATTCTCTCTCTTCTAAATAAATCTCAAGCACAAATTTTTCACCAAACGTCTGTCACTTTTCAACTTTTTTCTTCAACTGAAGTCCAACTGTAAGGTGCTTTTAAAGACGGTGGGAGTATTTTGCCAGTGAGAATAAATCCTAGCATACAACTCACAAATGCCATTCAGCACTAAAGAGTAAAGTATGGGCAACACTGATCTCTTTTTTTTTTTTTGCAAAAGTATAATTTCTAACTGAGTTGAAAGCACTTCTATTAAAGTACATTCCAAGTCACAACTTACCGTCACAAGGGACAAAAAATTGACACTATCAATAATAATAAGATTGCAAAGATCAACTGGCTTTGAAGCCAAGACAAATGCTCTAAAGATGCATTTTGGAGGGGGGAATAAGAAAAATTAGGTTCAACTGTTCAAGAAATTCAGAGCACTTACAGATTGAGTGTGACCAGTCAAGGAGTGCACTAAACTACCATCATTGGCATTCCAAACGCAAATTCTGCAATCTGCAGACTCAAGTCATCAATATCGAGCTTTCAAACAACAAAGTCAAAACATCATAATCTTAAACAATCAGTCTACACCCCATTTTGCACATCATGTGATCAGTTTACATAGGCATAGAGATCAAGAGAATTAACTCGAGTATACTGTGAAAATGAAGCAAAGTACATGCATGTACTCCCTCCGTCCTAAAGTAAGGTTCCACCTTTGACCCGGCACAGTGACGAAGAAAGGTAAAACTGTGTGCTTGAGATTTGTGTTGAGGAGAGAAATAAAATGAACCATAAAATTCTTTCCTTAAAAGAAAAGTGAAACTTTATTTTGGGACATACCAAAAAGACAATGTGGAACCTTTTTTTACATGATAGAGGGAGTATAAAAGTAGCAGTCCAACTGAACCATATATGAAGTACCCATAATAGCAGCAAGAACAAAACGATTATCTAGGCTCCAAACAATCATATTGACCCCACGAGGAGTTGGAAGTAATCTTTGTCGTGGTCCTCCTCGAGGAGGTTGTGGTGGCATTGGAGGTGGAGGAACTTTGAGATGATAAGCCTTCGCCCAACGTCCTGCCTTAACCTAATGAGTAAAATTATTGTTAGAAATGATGTTGAAAAGTTGGGTTTTTGGGGTGTGAGGGATTTGATCAGGTCATGTTTAGCAGAAGATGAAACTGGATGCTGATAAAAATGCAACAACAACAACAACCCAGTTAAATCCCACAAGAGTAGGGTCTGGGGAGGGTGTGTGTACGCAGACCTTGCCCCTACTCGAAAGTAGAGAGGCTGTTTCCAAAGAGACCCCCAGCTCAACGTCGAAAGTTGCATTGCTTGACTAACTGCTACTTCATTAATTAAAGAAGCGCAAATAGTTTAGATATCCATTTTGATTTATTCCATCACACCCCAAAGCCAAAAACAGGTGAAATTTTGGCTCCATCGGAGATGATGGAAAAGATGCTGATAAAAATGCTCGTTGATGAAATTTTTTAGCTGCTCTTGTAGATGCACATTTATTGCTTAGTTATCTTTATGCTCAACATGCCCGCATAGGTGGGAGGATACATTCTTAGTTTTCCTCATGGGCCAAACACATGGGATCCTTTGGATGATAAAGATACATGCTTATTATTGTATACCCCATATTATACTCCCACCTTCCCAAAAAGAACATCACATTACGCAAAACGAAATGAAATTTCAAGTTTTTTCAATTCATTTTATTTAATGATTGGTATAGAAATAAAAAATAAAAATTACATAGTTTAAAAATACGTAAAGGCCTACACAACAAGAGGTGACAAAAATATTTTATTTTATCAAATAATCAATGAAAACGCACAAATAAACAAAAGTTCCTGTGTTTTTCTTTTCTCTAGGAAATGCGAAGTGCTGCGAATAACTTACATATGCCCTGCGCGATTTAGGTATCCAGATGATTGCACTGCCATCTCGAGAACAAGTAACTATATTGTCGTGACTAAACCTGGCATTCAAATTTAATGAAGCATAATAGGCTAATTATTAGTCTAGAATAGTTTTGCACTGTAAATAACTGCAACCACATTATGAAAATCCATAAATGTACCCACAGACCAAGAATTTCTAAATTTTGGAATTTTGTCCTCCACAAGAGAATCATGAGTTGAACATCGAGGAGAACTCACTGCACAACCGCTGCATAATGAGAGGACGGGTGAGAATGGTGAGATGATGAGCTACTACTCCACGGGAAGAAAGTGGAGTTACCAACCTGAACTGCACATAATTTACATCCTGCTCATGTCCAGATAATATGTCTATCTCATGGCTCGGTTGATCTGGCTCATCCACATTGGGCTTAGGAGCACCCCAAACCTGTGCAGGGAGCACTTTCAGGATTTCCTTTCAAAACGATACTATTCTTTTTACGTGATGATGATAGGTTGATGGGTTTGGCATGAAAACATTCCAAGAGAAAGATGAAAGTGTTGTAAAAATTAATGTAAAAAAAGTGTTATAACATTAATCCTCCTCATACACACTCACTAAGGATCTCAGCCTTATATTTGTTGACTGAAGTCAACTGATTTAGTGACTGAGAACACACACACACACACAAAGATAATAAACAATACCCTTGCATGTCTATCAGAGCTCCCAGTCACAAAAACAGTTCCATTAGCATTGTATGCGCAGCATAGTATTTGATGGGGCTCCAATGCATTAGCTGAGAGAGAGCTGTTAGATGAGCGGAAAACGCCATTTATTCCTGCAATAAAATAGGATTTAATTTAAGCTAGCCTGGTGCGTCTGAAAGTTTTGATCCAACAATTAACCCAACTCTTCTGACCAGAGGTAACATCTGTTTGCCTTGGCAGGTAAACACGGGGAGTACACTGTGAGTACCTTGCATCCCAAACCCGACATGTTCCATCATCCGATGACCTAGACATGAGATGAATCACGACAATCCAAGAAGTGCTGTTAGTGTTGTCAAATAATTCATACTACCCATTAATTTAGTTGTTTCTTATGTGATAGATTAGGACTAGATCTTGTGAGATTGAAGCTCACTTTTAGCTCTAAAATAAAATATTAAAAAAAGTGCATAATATAGGATGGGTATAAAGCAAGATGCTGCAAGATACATCAAAAGATTCAAAAAATCAAAGGATAAATATGATAGAAGAATGGCTCACGACAAAAGCTGATAAACAGAGCTCGGCCGTGGACTAAAGGCTATGGCAGTAACTGCTGCTGTGTGTCCACGCAAAACTGAAATAGGCATCCCATCTGGCAAGCGCCACTGGAGTGAAGAAGATTAAACAATTTACCATTCAAATAAAGAGAGGTGAGCAATTCTATTTCTTTTTAGGATAAAGACGCAACCTCAGGTTATGAACAATTAGGCATATCCCTAATTTTGATAATTAAACATTAGGGATGACTTTAACCCTCAAAAGATTGGTAGTGTTGTGTTCACTCTTAGTACTGAGGTGCCAATTTTGATAGATAACCCCCCCCCCCACCACCACTACTGATAAGTGGATAAAAAATGTTTTCTATCGTGCTTTTGTTCTTAAACCAAATGGGACTGAATTCCTCCAATTTCTTATAGTTAAAAAACTTGTATCGTCTAATTCACAGTCCTGAAAATGTCTTCCCAGTTTTAAAATATGATAAAATTATGCGCCATTCAAATTTTCTTGAAGTAACTTTAAGCCATTACTGTAGTTTAGGTTTAAAACAAGAATAATTTCAAATACTTTGCAGATTGCAAAAAATAGAGGGGGCATAAACTATTTACATGCATCAAAAGAGAGTCTCTCTACTCAGTGGGAGAATGTTCTTACAGCACGAATTGTGTAGTCATTTGAAGCAGATGCCACTAGTGCATTGTTTGAACTGACAGCTAAATCAGTGATGTCACCCTATTAGCAGGAAGACACAATAAACTATTTATAAAGTCAAGCATAATGAAGAAAACAAATGTACTAAAATTTGAATCAAACATTAGAGTAATTGTATCACGGAGTATATTTTAACTTACTTCATGTCCACGGCAGCTAGCCAGGCAAAATGCAGTTTCCATAGACCAAATCTTGACCAGGCGATCATCAGAGCCAGTTATCACATATCTACCCAAGCGATCAAATATAGCTTCAAAATATATTGGAAAATAATTTTCAGTGGTTTTTAACTAGTTACTAATACCTACATTGCAATGTGACATCAAAAGTTGTTATAAATTAGAATAGAATAAGATCCATATTGACAGTGCACAATGCAGTAAAGAACCATAAGATTGGAATTTCCCCCGCTGAAATTGGAACAAATGTGACTGATGAAAAAGTTGGATAGCACAGGAATAATTGAAGTCATACCACAGTAAACAGCATCCCTGTGTCCCCTTAGTCTCTTGATATTCTGCATCCTTTGCACCATAGTCGATGGCTTGGCAATAGCATAACTTGCAAAACGCATCGATGGAGCACGATGATGTTTTGCAAAACCACCTCCAATTTCCCTCAAACAAAGACCATGCACCTGACCAGCGTGGATGTGTGGCCAACGAAGGTATGATGGAGGATGTTTTCCTCTTGTGCTTAATATATGTTTATCACCTGTGTCATATATTACCAGCAATAAACATAGTGATGTAAGAAACTGCTGGATACAACAACAACAACAACAACCCAGTTGAATCCCACAACAGTAGGGTCTGGGGAGGGTGTGTGTGATATATAACTAATATAAGTGTGTGATATTCTAGTCAGGGTTTTTACATGTGGTAGTAAAAATGTAAAATATATAAAGAAAAAATGAAAACCAAAGACAAGTTGTAAAAATGTTGTGATAAAAAAATAACTAAACACATACACGATATAAATAATTTAAAATAAAATCCAGGTTTCCAAGATGCTGGTTCTTTCAAGTAAGAATAATACTCCCTTCGTACCCTAAACAAATTTATGCTTTGTCTTCATGGAAATTCAGGAATGTGTTGAAAAGTGAAAAAGTGTTGTTGGAAATTGTTTAGAAGAGAGAGAAATGTTGTGAGCCACATATTCCTTCTTTAAAAAAGAAATGTGAGAAGTGTAAAGTTTATACAGATAAATCACAATGATAAACATCACCTACAAGATAAAAGGGAAAATGGCCCTGTTCCGAGAAGAGTTGGTACATCCGCAGCACTAGGAGTATTTCTCCCCATATGATGTAATGGAGGAGGCGAACTAGTTATCAGTTGCTTAAGCAGTTTTACCAAGTGATCCTTTTGAATGTGTGAATACCTATAAATAGAAAATTTTGAGATGGTAAATATACTGCAATTAGGCCATCTGGTTTATATATAGAAGCAAAAACTGATTTATCTCCAGCTATAGAAAATAGGGTCATAAGTTATTACAAAATGTTTTTAAGAGACTATTAATTTCTAAAATAATTAATTGTAATGACAACAACAACAACAAACACATTAAATCACTTCTAGACAACAAAGATTATATAATTATTATTCCTTGCAATCCAATTGCAAATTGATCAACTGAGTCCATAAGTTCAATCGCATCAAGAGAGAATTAGACACAAAAAACCAAGAACAAACAAACATGCATGCATGAAGGCCTAAAAACAAATAATCCCTCAGTCCCAAAATAAACTTCATTGTTTGACTTCACGGATTTTAAGAAAAATGTTGAAAAGCAAAAAAAAATATGAGGATAGAATTTAATTAGAAGATAGAGACATGTTGTGAGTTATACATTCCTTTCCTTAAAGGGAAATTAGGAAAAAGTGTGTTCATTTTGGAAGAGTAAATTCCATAATTGGTCCTTTATAACAGGGGGTTTCCATATTTAGTCCTTTGTTATCAAATATTACCCCCGTAGTCCTTTTTTAAGGGCGCCTTTCCACAAATGGTCCTTTTTTGATCTTCTGCCATGTTAGTGTTAATTTAAATGCTAAAAGTATAATTTGACATCAACATTATGTCTAGTGATGTGTTCTGATATTGGTTAAGCGGATAACACAAAAATAATGACTATGATTGTGGGCTAGGATTCCAACGAAAGACCACATTTGTAGACTATGGTTGTAGTAGAAAGCGACTATAATTCACAAATGACGCAAACGGAACAACCATTGGAATTGTGTATGACAAAAAAGATATATTATCATTGTGAAATTACACTTTTAGCCCTCAAATTAACACCAACATGATAGAAGATCAAAAAAGGACTACTTGTGGAAAGATACCCATAAAAGAAGGACCACTAGGGTAATATTTGATAATAGAGGACTAAATAGGGAAATCCCCCTGTTATAAAGGACCAATTATGGAATTTACTCATTTTGGAATGAACAAAAGAGAAAGGTGTAAAGTTTATTTTTGGACAGATGAAATAATGATTGCCATAAACAAACATTATAAGGTAAGCTAAAAGAATACCAAAATACATTACTTTTATGAGTTTCTCCTGAATTCAATAAGCAAATAGTGAACATACCTTTGAGCAAGGCTATCATAATTCAAAGGGAAAGATGACCCATCATCATTATGGGTTCCGCCATTTTCTCTATTTCGTGAATACCAAGCATGGTATCTCCTTGGTAGAAGCTCATGTTCCAAAAGTGCATCATGTAATTTCCCCAAGGCATTATGGCATGGCCCAGATGATAAGAAATGCATAATTAGAAAATATATTTCTCTACTATCAATGTCAACATCCTTTGTATTGGCAAGCTCAGAAGCTCTTTCATGCTCTTCAAATTGTGTTTTTGTATGCATCTGGTTCAGAAAACTTGGTGCAATATTTAAAGATAGAGCCTTGGTAATTGATGTACATTTACCATAATCCATCCTTTTAACTTACAACCCGAGGCAGCTGTTACTGTCCCTTGGCATTTGCATCTGAAACCATAGTGCCATCGTGTTGGATGAATATAGAACAACTTATCAAGATCTGTCTTCAAGAAAAACAGCAGCTAAAAGTTCATCTTTTGTTAATTAAAAAAGAGAGTCTAAGTTTCATTAAGAAATGTGCATCAAGTTTCATTAAGAAATGTACATCAAGTGTTCCTTTTCAAGATTTGTCTTTCTAACAGCAGCTAAACCAGTAGATAATCATTTCAAGTGTTCCTTTGAAATACATGAGGGTTACGAAATATGATATAATGTATTTACTAGCTTGATAGTAAAAAGTAGTGAAAACTAAGTCAAGATACAAATAGAAAGGAAAAGGTATGAAGCAATTAAGCAATGCCTGGCATCATTTCCATATTCTCACAGCCAAAAAAATACATGCACAACTGACCTAGAACTGAGCTTGCTTAAGCTCAAGATGATGAATGAGTTTGCATAAACAAAGGCTCTTATTTGACACAATTACTACGGTTCCTTTTGTTCAAACCTCGTAGAACAACAATAATGAACACTGTAAAAGTAAGTAAACGATGTGCGTGAATTTTTAATAGCCAACCTAACAATCCAATGTCGAGTGAATTTGTGAACAATATTAATAGCTCCATTCCACACATCTATTAAGGTGAAAAACGTACATCGTTGGACAATAAGCATTCATATTATGTTGACTGAGACAAATAGGCAATACTGAGCCTTGAATTGAAATCATTGAACAGGTGTAATACGTAAGAAGGAGAGGTGGATCAACAATCCCCAAATATATTTTTTAATAAAAAAACGCAAACTAATAAAACAGAAACGAATAACTGGGGCGCGATCCATTTCAGGGTAGATAAATTGACTAAATTCAGGCGTGAAGAAACGAAATACATAGAAAATGTGTGGAATTCCCAATCATCAGTTGACTTTCCAATGCTAAATTGCTTATAAAATCAAATGGATTCTAGTTGTAGCTAAATCTGAGTAGTATATGATAGGCAAGTCAAAATTGTATTGCCGTTAGAAGCAAAAAGACGAACGAATAAAGAAAAGGAAACGGATCACTGAGCTTACAGCGATGGTTGCTTAAACGAGAGATTATAGGGCAAGTCTGGTGGTTTCCACATAGAGCTGGTTTTGCATTTTCAGCTCTCGAGTCGGGCTCCCAAGGTCACGGAAGCGCAGCAATGTCTTGAGAGAGCGCCGGCGGCGGCGAAGCCTCTTTTGGGTGTCTCCGGTGCCGTGCCGGAAATAGGAACCGCGGGAGCTGGGTGGCGTGGCGACGTGCTCTCCGAATTTCTTTTTTGCTTTATTGATATTTTTTTGTAGAATTGATAATAAAATAAATACGGAGTAAATTGGTAATAGTAATGTAAGAATTTGCTTGCATGGTATAAGTTACTCCGTATAATATAACACTGCCCAAATGACACCCGCCGCGGGGCATTTGTCCCCTGGCGTTTATTTCGTTCCAAATCGCAATGATTTTAGCCTTTACACTGACAATAAATCCATTGTTACTAATAGAATTATTATGCAATTTAAAATTGTGTTTTTAAATTAGTTTATTAGCATTACAATTTTAAATAATAAATTAATGGTACAACTTTAAAAAAAAAATTATGGTACCTCTTATAGTTGACATTAAAATTGAAAAGTTGTCATTGTTTGTTTGTCCCAAACTTTGACCTAATGTCAATGCTGATGGGATAATAAAAATTTACTAGCCGCATGTACTTGGTTTAAGCACCAATTAAAACATTGATAATGAAATATTCATATTAATTAGAATCTTCGTAATCATACTTATTATATATTTGGTTATATTTTATTTATTTTTGTTATTCATTTTAAAAAATAATATAGTCATATCAATTCATGTTTTTGTAAAACTTTTAACATAGTATTAAATATATAAATTTTGTTTTTTAAATTTTAACCAATTATTAATTAATTGAAATAGAAAATAACTTTAGTAAAAAACCTTAAACCGCAAACTGAAGTTTTTTTTTTGGGATAGATGGTGTGATACCGAGTATTTGAACCTCAATTCAGTCAAATGTTAAAAATAATTGACTACAAAAAGTTAAATATAGAAAAATATTCAAGAAGGAGAGTACTCCCTCCGTTCTCCAGTTTTTGTCCACTTTTGACTTTTTGAACTGTTCATCTAAGCACTTTGATTCATCAAATTCTTTCAATGTGTAAGCCTAAATATAGTCATGTGTGATCGTGTTTTACAAGATAAAATGGATTAAAGAAATGCATTAGATGGTGTGTAAAAATGAAAGTAGACGAATACAGGGGGACGGAGGGAGTATTATCTTTTTCTTGTAGTGTTTACATAACTTTTTAAAGTAAAAAGCACTTTTTCTTGTAGTGTTTACATAACTTTTTAAAGTACACTTTTTCTTGTAGTGTTTACATAACTTTTTAAAGTAATTTTTGAATGTATAAATTTTATTTCAAAATTTACATCAATTTTGAAATAAATAGAGTTAAAAATAAATTTTAGAAACTATCATAAGCCATACTTGGACTTTTATTTTGGGATGCAGCGTGCAGGTAGTTTATACGGAGTATATATTTTTTCTGGTACGAAAAAGTTTATATGATTTACAATATCTCATTTGTCCAATTTTTTTTTTTTTTGAAAAAAAGAGTAATTTATGAGTAAAATATTGAAAATGTATCAAAATAAGATTTTTCATATTTTTATTTTTGAAATAACAGTTAAAATACATTTACAGTGTTAATCATGACCATGTATATTGCCAAAGTATTCAAAAATGTCCATATATAGTGTCACATTATTCGAGTACGAACTCCTGTTTTGGGGATAAAAACATGTAGCTTCTAATTTTGTATTTTTTTTATGCTTTGCTCCTATTTAGGTTTATTTTTAAAAATCTTTTCTTTTTAGTTTTTCCAAAAATTATAATCTCATTGTAAGGATTTGTTAGTTTTTTTTGTTGAGGAATCAAACATGACTACATGAGTGAGTTAAAAATTAGACTTCCTCTCATCAAATCAAGAGAGAAGTTAATTTACTACTCTTGTTCTTGAATATTTATCCATATTTAACTTTTTGGAGTCAAATATTTTTAACATTTGATTTACATAAAATATATAAAATATTTTAATTAGATAAAATAATATTTTATAAAATAAATATAATAAAATTATTTTTATATCAGTATCTAATATTATTTTTATTTTATTTCTAAATATAGTCATGTGTGATCTTGTTTGATTTATCTTAACATATAGATTATTAATATATGATTTTTATAATTTTTTAATATACAAATTACAAGATAAAATGGATTAAAGAAGTGCATTGGATGGTGTGTAAAAATGAAAGTGGACAAATACAGGGGGACGAAGGGAGTATATATTATCGAGATATTTTACAATAGTGAAATATATATTTATAGAATTATTAAAAAATGAAAAAGATTTATACAAATGTATTCAAAGATCTTTTAAAAAAACATATATCAACCTCATTAGTGGATGCACATGTGGCATCAACACTACAACAATAGAACTCTACTTTACACACACACATATATATAGGAAAGATATAAGATAGGATAGGATATATAGGATGCGTGTTATTCAAACAAAAAAAAAAGTTTTTTTTTTTTTAGAAAGGAGGGAGGATTTTACGGAGTATCTTTTTAGAAGATTTAGAAAATAAGGATAAAAAATAATGGCACCTACTACCTACCAAAACGAGAAGCCGCTGTCCCCGGCTTACCTCCGCCTACAAATACCGTGTCTTATCCACACTCCCTCCTCCTAAAAATCCTAATCCTTTGTTTCTTTCCATTCTTTCATCGAAATATCAAAGGCGGCCTCTTTCCTCCTTCCGGTAAGGATCGCTATCCCTTTTTTCCCTTATCTCTTTTCTTCTTCTTCTTCCTCCCATCATGATTTATAATGCATTTTTATTTTTATCTTGGTGATTCGCTGTTGCTTATTTCATTAGGGTTTCTGATTTAGTAAATTCTGGTGTTCTAGATTGTCTTGACTTTGGTGTTTCTGATTCATCCAACTTTGATTGCATGAATTCGCTTGCCCGATACTCTGGTTCACTTGAACTCGTTGATTTACTTGGTTGCTGATTCACTTCATTACCTGTGTTCCAATTCATCCATGCGTTTTTGTTTGTGGCTGATGCATTTGTCTTATTTTTTATGCGCAGATCTAACAGTTTGAAGCCTGTTCTCTCCATCTTCACATTCCTTTTTTTCCCCGGGTCGATTGTTCGATTATATATATTAATGTACATCAAACTATGCTTACTTTTTGACAACCCGACATAGATTTCTCCATCCCAGATATGAAATCTGTCCTAATGCGTCGAATCCGTATCCTCCATTCTTTCTCAGTTGTCTTTCTTTACTGGTTCTACGTGTTCTCACTCCTCGTGAACTAAACCGACCCTCCTTTAGTACTCTTTCTTTCTTCTTGCCTGTTATAGAAATCCCTAATTTCTTCCTCCCTCAGTCTGCTGTTAAATTACAAATAGTCGACCCAATCCTACAATAAAAAAGACCTTGTTACAGGAGAGACGAAGCAATGGCTTCCTCCATGCAACATCAGCCCGCGAGCTCTAATTCATCATCTGATGCGGACCAACGCTATGCCATGTATGATGAAAAGAAGAGGAAGAGAATGATATCAAATCGCGAGTCGGCGAGGAGGTCTAGGATGAGGAAACAGCAGCACGTCGAGGAATTGTGCGCCCAGAGAGCTCTGCTGCAGAAGGAGCAGATTGCTTGCAACCAGAAAATCGACGCAGTCTCTCAAGGGCTTGCAGCGATTTCTGCTGAGAATGATGTTCTGAGGGCTCAATGTGCAGAACTGGCCGACCGGTTGCAGTCAATGAATGCCATCCTCCAACTCTGGGCCGATGTTAATGAGACTGTGGTGGATATCCCCGAGATTCCTGATGTTTTGCTCGAGCCATGGCAGCTGCCTTGTCCAACACTGCCCATTGTTGCTTCTGCTGATATGCTCCAGTTCTAGGCTTCTTCTCCTATGTGACTATGTCATTTATTTCATTATTAATCCATTGTTGTCGTTGATTGTTTCTTATCATTGTGTTTCATTTGGTTCGGTGTCTCTCCCCCATAATCTCTAAGGGGCATCTTGTTGTGCATAGATTTTGTTTTTCTTGGGTTTTTGTTGTGAAGTGTGAACTTCATGCAATAGGATTGTCTATTTTGTGGCAATAAACTTTAAAATTCTAGTTGTCTACAGTATTTCGTAATAAGATTGGAATTGAAGTTACTCTTACTCTTGCAAAATACAATGTATGTTGGTAAAGATTTAAGGTACTCCCTAATATTAGTAATATCAAAGCCTCTAATACCATTTTTTAAAAATGATTCACAACAGTACATTCACAAGAAAATACGGAGCAATAAAAATAGAAGGGTAAAAAAGGCAGAGAAGAGTGACCTCTCATCAATTTGGGCTCATCTTTATTTATTGATTTAATTTACACTATTATTTTGATTTTTGATTAACAATATAATACAGCAAAGAAGCATGTTAAAAGGGGGTATCATAACACTAATTAGTGTAATGAAGAAGAGTTTGGTCATGCTTCTTGGCACGAAGTAGTTGGGGTAATGGCGAACGGTCTCTCTTCAAGGGATGAGGATGGGGAGGGGTGCGAGCCCATGCGGGTGCCTGATCAGGCCCATACCGGTAATCATAGAAAAGTTCGTCGCTAGCTCCGATGCGGTCCTTTGCAAAGATGCCAACCCGGTGATCACCAGCTACGAGCATCACCTGTACAATAATTAATATGCGGTGTAGTATGGTATATGATGCCGAAGAACCAAAGACAATGCAGTATATTTGAATTAATGATCCATCCAATCCAAATGATATATTGTTGTGTACCTTTGCATAGCAGTTCGGATTTGAGGAATGATTGGCGAATTTCAGCTTGTCTCCTTTGCGGTATGCGTCAAGCACATACTGCACCCACCCAAAACACATATACAACTCATTCCATATTTCATGTTTTTAGCCTAAGTTTGGGTCCACACACAACGGTATAGCACTTTTTTATTTATTTAGTAAATAAGACGATTTTGAAAAAATATCAGAAAGTTAATACTCCGTATATTCATTTTGAAAGTGTTGGGATTTTCTTTCCTTGCAAATTTCTTTTACATTTTCCTCACTACTGCTTCAGTTCCAACGAAATGGACCAGTAAAGCTGTAATAAACATGACTACTAACAGTTACCTACCTGATCATTCAAGTCAAAAAGGTAGGAGGAATTAGCCCGATCATAGATTTTTCCACGCTTATCTGCTTCTCGGTGTGAGATCAATTCACCTGTATATTCTCCCAGGTAATCGTTTTTGTTAACGGGGCTCTGCACAGAAATGTAGAGTACAATATTACGTTTAATAACTTAAAAAAGAAAAGTGTCTCTAGAGAGGAGCGAAAAAGGGTTATATACCTTCAGAAAGGCACCCCACCCAGCTACATCAGATTTTGCCAAAAGGATCTGCGACAAAAGGCAGGAGAAAGAAGAAAAAAAACTTAGATGTTATACTAATAACAAACACCGATATTACTAATAACAATAAAAACTAACACCGATAATAAACCATTTTGAAAATGTGTATCAGTTACCCGTTGTTGCTGCCTCAAGAGGAGCCTCATGTTACCACATTGACTATCTCCTTGCATGGGAGGTTCACCTAGCGACCCATCTCCACAGCTGCACTTTCCAAAGAGAAACGTCTATTAATCAATGCAGAATAGACTGATATGAGTAAATGGCATTACCTCCATCCAAGAAAACAATGTTTATATTAATATACGGAGTAAATGCTACGGAGTATATAATATGACACTTCGGGAGGGGGCGAAAGTATTCTATTGTATTGGCATCCCATACCTAACCCAACAATTGCGGCAAACATCTGGATCACATTCTCGTCCTGCAGCAAAGCACGGGCATTGCCGACTTCTACATTGACTCTTTGCACAGTGGCACCCACGAAAGCGGTTTTTACAGCCTTTTGAGCACCTAAAATGGACAGCGTATGAGTCAAGCCCTCACAACTATAGGCAACACTCCATTCAACAAACAATAAATATGCTAAACATACCCACAATATTTTTCACAGCAAGTACCGTTCTGTAAACAAGGGCATTCCTTTCCACACATAGATTGGCACCCACATGGATTATATTGATTGCAGGACTGATATTTCCCATCTGCAACTTTTCTCCACAATGATGGATGACCAGATGACTTTGTTGAGTACTTGAGCTTACGAGCCCTGCCCCTTCGACGAAAAAGACGGGATCTAGCTGGCATATCTAACTCCTAGCCCAAGTATAATACATATGTGTGATTTTAAAATTTTCTAAGCTAAAAGACTTCCCCTGACAGTAAGTTTCACAAAAAAAGGAGCACAAAGAATAGATCACAAACCATTTGATCCAATTGAGCTTCCCTGTTGTGATCGGAAAAGAAACAGAGAATGTCAGAGGATCCAGGATGCATTTGTGCTCCATCATTATACATGTATCTTGAAACTTCGATGCACGATTTCAAGCCAGGGAGTAAATTCCTAGCTATGAGGCAGCTGCATAGGAAATTATATGCTTTAATCAATTATATATTGGTTGTTGTGAGGATGAAAAGTGATATTCATGTTTCATCAAGAATGAAAATTCAGAACATGCACCTGTTCATGCCAAATATCTCTATGCCCTTCAAATATAATTCTTTCTCAAGTGGTTTCCAGTCAGGGATTCCAAGCAAGCCTTTACAAAGCGTTTTACCAAAACTATACCTTGGATCCCCCTTAGGAGAGTCACAAGTGGCTGCTTCTTTACATTTATTAATGGCCTCAGTATTGTCTCGAGACATAATTAAACGAGTACTTGACTCTGATGAACACTTATGCGACTCACAAACAACATCATCAGTAATCATCTTTGGATGATTTGCATCAGATACACATTCCATGGGCATGCCAATGGAACTAGGAACTGACAACTTCAGCTTCTTATTGTGAGGATCTTGTAGTAGTTCATCAGAAACTAGTTTATGCCCTTTATGGTTTTCTGGGGTTAGGTACATAGGATCTAATGCTTTTTGTTTTGGATTGCTATCAGAGTGTTCACCTATTAAGAAAAGCAGATAAGTGAGATAACTAAGTAACTTGCTCGGTGTCTTTCAGAAACAATCTCTCAACCATTTTTGGTATGGGTGAGGTTTGCTTGCACCCATCCACCTTGTGGGAATACACTGGGTAGGTTGTTGTTAAATAACTAAGTCAGTGACTTGGTGATCAGGTGGCAACTCTAAACACTTTCCAAACATACCCACCCACATTTTAAAAATAATAATAAAATACACGTGAAAATATTTAAAGAGATCATTAAAATAATCATTGTTTTCACTTTTACCTTGCTCTCCGGCATTGAGACTGGCCAAATTCTCAGACCTCTTTTCTAAAATCTTTCTTTCAGATCTACCAGGTAGATCTGTGGCTGGATCCCCAGGTAAGAGTCTAGTGACTTTGAACTATTATAATAGAGAGGCATATCCCCATAGAGGGATCGAAAAAGATGTCAGTAAAAAGAAGCTACTCTGGAGAAGCAGATTGAGATGATAAACTGCACATTGCCTCACTCAAGCATCCCGGTTAATTTGCTAGAATATAGATAGTACTATATAACACATTTATGCTGCAAGAGAATCATTCAGACATTCAGAATGATTCAAGACATTCCCACCTTTTTTCCCTTCAGAACAGAAAAAACTTGAGGAATTGGATAGCATTCAGAAACATCATGATAATAACTACTACTCGTACCTGAAGATAACACTGATCACTGCAGGGTTTCCTGTGAGCTTTATCAGAAAAGTATGATTGTTTCTCAATCTGACACGTGAAATGTTTTTTTTCAGACTTGTTTCATGGAAAGAAGCTACAAGTTCTATAAGAGCAGGTATGATAGAGAGACCCACATACAGCATCAATGAGAACTTGAGAACAGCCATGTAGACGGCAATCAAACACCTGGTTTCCAAATAAAAGCTATCAACTGTCTGGCAACATATAGTAAAATGTACAGTAGTTTCTACCATCCACATCAAGTAGAACCAATATATTTATGACACACCAAACAACGGCGACAAAAAAGATTATCGAAAGAATCCAAGGCAGTGGAAAGGCTTTTCTCCAGTAGCAGCTTTCTTTCAGATCCTCTTTCTTCCAAAGATTTTATGTTTTTTTCTGCTTCCATATGTTTTCCTTCAAGAACATTGTACCGGTCCTGTGTGTCGCATATCACAATAGCATAAAACAGATGCCGGGTATCACTCTTAGAAGATTTAGCTGTTGAGGGGGGGTTGGGGGGCTGGGTGAGTGGAACGCAATCCATGCTGAGTTGCTGACAAGAAACTCAGATTACCTGGATTTCAGAAGTGGAGCCTCCAATGAATTGGGTCAACATGCCTAGAACCTTCCCACTTATCCCGTACTCTTGTAAAGCCATCCTGCAAATTGCAGTAAAACGTAAGCGGTTAAGCACTAAATACTGTACTAATACTACTTTGGGATACTATAAGCATGCAGAAATATTGGGAAAAGAAGGCAAAAAAATTACGGAGTAAAAAGAAAAAAATGTTGCCCCTAGTGATTTTTTCTGTTGTAATAGAAATACAATATGCACACTTCGCCAGATATCTGAATAAAAATAAGCTCACTTTTTGTAGGAAACACAAGCTGATATATTATAGTGGTGCCACAATTTTTTTACAAAAGAATAGTAAAACTATAAATTTTACTTCAAATGGTATCAATATCACATTCCAAGTACCTTAGAATCATATCCTCGCCTTTAGAGAATGAATTTTTCTTTATCTCTGGTTCTGCATTCTCTTCTTCACTGTCACTGCAGATTAGTGCCTCGCTTCCATGTTGATCATAGTAAATGCGCCGCCTTCCAAGTACTGATTGGTCTTCAGCCATTCTCTGATTTCTGTGCTTTGTGAACAAGGCTTTAGAGAAAGGGAGCATATATAGATCATTTTATTGTGAGAATATAAATGGAACCATTAAGTATTTGCCAGCACCTCTGGCTGAGAAATAACAGAAGGTTGTGACCAAGGGAGCATTGAACAAACGCAAATAAAGTATGAGGGAATGAGGCTGACATGCAAAAGATTGGCCAATTTTGTCAAAATACCTGTTCCATCCCGCCCACACCAATGAGTGGATTTCACCATATATCTAATCAGCCTCAAAGAAGTTGGGTTGTGTGACAGAAATAATGAAAATTAGTGCAACAAGTCCATTCCGTTTTGACTTTCAGATTAGAATTTTATAGTATTTTCTCTCAACAATCTGAAGCTAAACTTCAGCAAGCTGTTCAATAATAGAGTGACCATGGATCGTTAATATTCAGCCATATATGAGAACTGTGTAAGTTTCTAGCGATTTCGTTCCTCAATTTAAGCTCCTAACATTTATATCCTCGATATACACACATTCAAGGAGCTTCTGAAGTATAACAAGCTACGGTTCATTTCCATAAAAATTAATTTGTACTGAGGAAGGCAATAAAAGAAATGAGGCACATGTTATTATTTTTAGATTTTGGAAAGTACTTCCGCGTGAAATTGAAAATTGAAATAAAACCAAACAGAATAAAATATAACACATCAATATGATAGTTTCTGTACCGGTCTAAGAACACCCAAGTCGTATATGGAGGTAGTTTCTGGACGGATGGAAGCTTGGCAGTTATCACAGACACCGCTTCTTGACTGCTAGTAGCACAGTCTCTCTCTCTAGACTCTTGGATAAGCCCACTAACTTTGCAGAGGGGATTTGCAATTCTAAAAGAGAGCATATCACCCGGCTGGCTGTTGTCTAATGATGAAGCATCGATTCTGGACCCAGCTAGCTCCAAAAATTGGTTAACGTGAGGGTCTAGCCTCCCAATGTTCTCTTCAACATTTGCCTATTAGAAACACAAGACTCCCCCAATCGGTATACAGCCTGAGTGGACTAATCATACATCAAATGGAACAAAGAGAGAGTTGCAGCCTCAATGAAGGAGAAAATAACAAGTACTTTTATTGAAAGAGTTCTCTCATATTGAATCTGCTTCTTGAGTTGATTTATTCTGAACTGCAACACCTTCAAAGTATCATCGCCTAGTTCTCCAGATGGTTCCTGTCAAAAATGGTTAGAAAAGGCCTTCATTTCTGGCAATCCACCCAATTCACAGTAGTGAACTAGGATAAACGTAGTAGTGAGTAATCACTGATGAGCAAAGAGGATAATCCATGCATTCACATGCCATTGCTTTAAACAAAGGAAAAATGCAGCCTATGCTATATCCGGGAACGGATATCAATGCAATATCATATTGTATGTAAGCAGAAAAGAATCAACTTCCAGCCACAAGCCCACAAGGCATCATCGCCTTTGAGGACAGAACATGCCGATAACTATATACTGAGTAGATGAGAACTTGGTCCCTGTCCGAAATCCATGTTTGGATAAAGGTTTATTTTTCATCCATTAGAAAAGAAACCCCTAAAAACCCTACATCTTCTATTCCGGAGCAAGGTCAAACCACCATATGTGTACCTAACTAAACCGCAATTAACAGAAAAATTTGAAGCTAGAAATGATGAAAGCACATGCTAGTAATCACGAAAATGAAAAATAAAAAAAGGAGCTGAGTGATCAAAGCAACGATGATAGCAGCAAAAACAATTCATATGAATTTGAAGATGCACAGAGGTGATCAACGCAGCGGAAAAGGAGCCGAGTAATAAGACGGAGATGAAGAAAAAACAGACTCACTCTGTAATTCGGAGGAGAATCGGAGGCCATGGCGCTGAAGAATTGAGGTGGCGGCGGGTAGAAAGAGATCGGGAACAGAGTTGCAGTGAGGGTGGGAGCGAGAGAGAGATGGAAAGTCGTCTTGCGGGGGCTCTCGCTGATCAGTTGAAACGGAGAGAGAATCTGTGGTGCACCGGGTCCCCCCATGATCCATCCATACGTACGGATGCTCTATCTTTCCGTTTCTTTCCCCGCCATCTCTCCGTTACCACGGTGAAAAGAAAAGAAAAAAAACTCCCACCTCGGTCCGTGGGCCTTGGAGATTTGGGTGCAAGTAGGACACAATCTTATATTCGAATTGGATCTTTTAGGTTGGGTCCATTTCGCCTTATCTAATCTAATATGAGATGGTTTGCTTTTAATGTAATTGCAGTTATAATTATAGTTATTTCTAGTCTGATATGATATGGTCTGATCTAATCTGATTATATTTCCTCCATCCTACTTTAGATTACAATATTCCCTTTTTGTTGAAATTAAAGAAGAGTCAAATCAAATTTTTTTTCCCTAAATTACCCCCCAAGTATCCTTCCCACTCACATTGATGAATAGTGTGTGAATAGTGTAGGAGTGGGAGGGTAAAAGAGTCAATTCCTTGTAAAGTTATTGACTTTGTAATTCTTTTTGGGACAAAAATGTGAGGGAATATTGTAATCTATTTTGAGACGGATGGAGTAATAAGAATAAGTAGTAAGCAGAAAAAATAAGTTGAACAAAACACTACCTTAATAGTGTTTAATTGTAACCTTAACTCTCTTAGCAAAACGATGGATCCTAAAATTCCTTACTTAAATGTTAAGAGAGTGACAAACCTTATACGAGTAAAAAAGTAACACTAGTACTCTTGGCCTTTTAATGGCATAATAATATGGGTGGTTTTCGAGTCATTGGCTTCAACTAATATTGTGGTGTTAGTTTTTTCTGGGGCACTTGTCGTGCTCCGCTCATAAAATTGATGGATTTTATCTTCCTTTAACTCCGAGTAAATTCTCCCACTCCATCCCGATCCAAGCCCACCTCCATTCCTTTCAATCCCTCAAGTTTAGTTGATTTTAGAATAAATAAAATTTGACTCTAAGGTAGGTATAATGGGTGGGGTTCCAGTGCCACTGGAATCCGGTGCCACTAGCGGTGCTACCGGCATTTTGAGGCACCTCCGGTTCTCCGTTCGCAAAATTGACGGTTCCTACCCCCCTAACCCACCCCCTAAACCCCCCACCCTACCCCCGCCCCTGCACCCCCGCCCCCAACCCCGCCGTAAGCCCCACACAAAACGTGTGGCTATTATGCGTTGCATAATAGCCACACATTTTGTGGGGGGCTTACGGCGGGGTTGGGGTGGGGGTGCAGGGGCAGGGGTGGGGTGAGGGATTTAGAGGGTGGGTTAGGGGGGGTAAGAATCATCAATTTTGCAAACGGAGCATCGGAGGTGCCCCAAAGTACCAGTGGCACGAAAGTGACACCGTACTCCAGTGGCATTAGAACCCCACCATATTTTCTATTCTAAGAGCAACTCCAATGGAGCCTCTATATTTTGTTGAAGTCTAAAAATTAAAGTTTTAACACTACACTGTAGACAAAATTGAGCTCCAACGGATAAGGAAAAATATATACCGTGAGCTAGTTTTAACTTTAGGTCATCTATATATAGAAGATTAAGTTCATAAGCTATAATAAAAAAGTAATAAACAAATGTGAAAAGTAGGAGGGACGAGTGTTAACCTGACATGCCTAGTTTGTAGCTATCTCACAAAAAAAGAGTAAAAAAGCAATAAAATATATTAAATTTATGAATAATAACTGATATGGTTGGAGGGCATACAAAAATGTGAGCATTCAAATTACTGTACACACTCTAAAAAGGAGTTTTAGCTCTTAATTTTTTGCAGCTCCGTTGGAGTTGCTCTAACTAAACTTAATTATACACATTCTTGGGTAAAGTGGCTATCCATTTGTTATTGGGAGACGGGGGACTCGGGTATTCCTCGGGTGAACTATTGAGCCGTATCCATTCTATCCAATACACTGAGTGGGCAACAGTCAAGAAATTAGCTTGCCCAACACTCCAAGACAACCCAAACAAGATAACCGGGATCAGCCCAAATTACAGAACCCTAATCGTAGAAAGCTCTGTGAGCTCTCAAAACCCCGAAACCAATCTGAGCATTGACTCCCGCCGCACAGCAGCCCCGTCGGAGCGCGCAACTCCCCTCTCTCGTCGCCTCCTTCATTCTAAGGTTTGGCATGTCCGTGTTTCATAGAATCCTTTTCTTCTGTTCTTAAACTATAGAACAAATATGTGTAGTTTTATTGCTATGCATTAACATTGTAAACGGTGTTTGGTATCACTGTATTGAAGTTTTAAGGGTTTAAACCTTCGATCAGATAAGCGAGATGTCTCCCCGTCGATTGTTTGAGATCTAAATACTTCTTCTATGACTATGCACTGGTAATAGAGTGAAATGAAAATTGTTAGAGATGAATGCTAATGTTCATCACAGGAAGATAATGAAAGCGAACAATCTCTTGCAGATGGAATGTCATTAGGGTTGAAATACAGAAAAAGTTGACTTATTATATTTTCATATTGATTTTAAGAGTTTAGTAAAGCAAAATAGCACCTGAAGCTCGTGATAGCAGCTCATTTGGCTTTAGATCGTCTTTGGTTGCTTTATTTGCAATAAACATACTTAGTCTCCCATTTGCAAAACACTTTCTGTTAGATTGTTATTTTGTGGCATACATTGGATTGCTGTACATTGTGGAACTAGAGACAAATAATTACTGTCTTAAAACCCAGTCAAAGAACACATTTACATTTCCTTACTTGGGTAAGGATGCATGAAGTGCCACTTTATCTGAGTTTCTGATGGGATTTGACATGCACATTATTATTGCTTGATACTGTTTATTTGTTCCATTTTAATTTTTCCAGCTACTAGAAAGATGGATCTCAACAATGTTAAGATTCCCAAAATCCCTGGTGGTGGTGCAGCCTCATCTCTGGTCAAGCTTGGGGTTGTAGCTGGGCTTGGTCTTGTTGGAGTTGCCAACAGTCTCTACAATGTCGATGGAGGGCATCGCGCCATTGTCTTCAACCGTATCACTGGTATCAAAGAACAGGTGTGTTTTCTGTATCTGCTTGGATCCCAAATGATGACATGACCATGAAACTTCATGATGATTGGTGATTTTACTCCTTTAGCCTCATATGGAACTTCTAACTCATTTTGTTGGGCATGGCAAACAAAGTCCTTGCAATGAGGTTTCATCACTTTCATGATCACGTCATTTTGGAATAAACCTCCCGTTTTGGGTTATTGTTTGCCTGTTTGGTTAAGCAACTGAGTTCTCTTCAGGGAGATGGATTTCGCTTTTTGATATGTTTTGTAATGACTAAATTATGATATGTCTTGTGAACTTATACTTTAATATGTTTTGTAATGACTAAAATATGTTATGTATTGTGAATTTGTTTACATAATTTTATTTATATATATATAATTTTTATATATAAATTTGGCGTTTCCCCGGCGTTTCGTCTCTTCATTTTTTCAAAATAGCCGTTTCGGCGTGTCCGTTTCGTTTCGTCTCCGTCCCCGTTTCCGTTTCAATGCTACATAGCTTGTGGTGATCAATGTTTGTATTCAATTGTGTACANCGCTTTTTGATATGTTTTGTAATGACTAAATTATGATATGTCTTGTGAACTTATACTTTAATATGTTTTGTAATGACTAAAATATGTTATGTATTGTGAATTTGTTTACATAATTTTATTTATATATATATAATTTTTATATATAAATTTGGCGTTTCCCCGGCGTTTCGTCTCTTCATTTTTTCAAAATAGCCGTTTCGGCGTGTCCGTTTCGTTTCGTCTCCGTCCCCGTTTCCGTTTCAATGCTACATAGCTTGTGGTGATCAATGTTTGTATTCAATTGTGTACATGTTCTTGAATTATAGAAGACCAGTGTCTTTAATTCAACAGGGATTACAGTCATTACACTATACATTTAGTGGACGTGAAAATATGTGGAATATTGTAAAAACTATTTATTATGTAGTAGATATGAGAATAGAGCTAAAACTTATTGTGCACATAGATATGAGCAGTTATGATCCAGTTCTTTTGGAGATAATTCCGGTCAGATGGGCCTTAGATCCTGGTCAGGTAGGCCCAAACTTATCTGCGTGAACCTCAAACCAACTAATATAATGTGCTGGGTATATTGGCTCTAATTGCATACCCTTGGTGTGGTCCAAATATACCCATTACAAGCCTCCTAGTTTCTCGTGTCCTTAATTAAAGAAGGCTATACAAGAAATTACAAATATAGTTTAAGGGAATTCTAATTTTGAAATGTGACATTGCTACTGACAGTTCTAATTTGTGGAGATGGGGTGGCTTTGCATCTTCCCTAGGAGATTCATCATATCCTAATTCTCCTTAATCCATCACATCTTTCCTAAAATGATCTTCCTAAGTTGACCTGACATGATTGTTAAGAATTTGATAATGTGTGGTTGTTTAATTTAATGTAAGAGACACAATTTGGACAACACAAACCCTTTCTTAATGGGTAATGAGAAAAACATTTTAGGACAGCCTAAAAAGAAAAATGAAAACAAGATTACAAGACAAGAAATTATTAATGTACTAGACAATGCCTACTGCAACTGTATTTAGTATTGTGTCTGAAACTGCTTTTTACAAATGTATGAAAATTAGGTCTGCTTATATTTCAAAAGAATAGTCTCCGTTGTATTTATTGATTAATCCTTGTCTTTCTTTGCTGTCTTTGAGCACACGTCACTAGGCAGGAACACTTAGATGGCTAGGTTTGAAGTTGTACGGTAGGCCTAGATACGAGTGCACAAGAGGTATTTATCAAGTCTAGGATAAGGCTTTTGCGTGGTATTCTGTCTCTTTTTGTGTACTCTTTTCTGCGTTACAGTAGTAACCTTTGTCTTTCAGGGAGTCTTTCATAAATACCCTCTATTTATTCTAGGTAGGGGAAGGACTGCATACACCCACCCCCATACCCCACCTGATTGGAATCCATTGGGTTGGTTGGTGTGTTCTGGCTGTTGTTGCCTTTGCTTTCACTAAATATTCTGGAATTTGATGTTTTATGCTTTCATTAGTATAGAGTCTTTTCAGCTGTGCTCTTCCTAGATGGCTGGCTACTTAGCTGATTGTATCTTGAATCTCTGTTTACAAGGTCTATCCTGAAGGAACACACTTTATGATACCGTGGTTTGAGAGGCCAACCATTTATGATGTCCGTGCAAGACCCCATCTAGTGGAAAGCACATCTGGAAGTCGCGATCTTCAGATGGTATGTGTCTTCTTGCCTTAAATTGTCAAGTCTCAATATCTGTTTCCTTTCCCTCTACAGGCTATCAATGTTAAAAGTAGTTCTGGAATAGAAGTTGTATTTAATAATCATGCCTTGATCAGTTGTTGCATATGTAGGTGAAAATTGGTCTGCGTGTTTTGACACGTCCTGTACCAGACCAGTTACCCACTATATATAGGAATCTTGGGGAGAACTACAATGAAAGGGTGTTGCCTTCCATCATCCATGAAACCTTGAAGGCTGTGGTTGCCCAGTATAATGCTAGCCAGCTTATCACCCAGAGAGAGGTGATCTTTAGATGTTTGACTAATAATAATAAAACAGAAATGCGTTTTCTATATAGTATTCATGTGTAGCATATACACACTTTGGATTGTGCAGGCTGTGAGCAGGAAGATAAGGGATATTTTGACTCAGAGGGCAGCTAACTTCAACATTGCATTGGATGATGTGTCCATAACCAGCCTGACCTTTGGGAGGGAGTTCACTGCAGCTATCGAAGCAAAACAGGTGGCTGCTCAGGAAGCCGAGAGAGCCAAGTTCATAGTTGAGAAAGCTGAACAGGACAAGCGCAGTGCTATCATTAGGGCACAGGTGAGTATAAAAAATCCAAGCCTAATTCAAATAGAAGAACTGAAACTTTGAAATGAGCTTTTAATATGATGAAGCAATAAGGGTGGAGGTAAATAACATATCAAAATGAGGATTAAAAAAAAGATTCGATGCCCGATAGTCTCTGTACCATCAACTTTCTTTTGGACTCGATTTGGTCATCAAGCATGCAATTTTACGTTTAAAACACATTGCACTCTAATTATGATCGTATTAAATTGAGGAATAGTGTAGAAAGGAGGGATTAAATGGGTAATTAATTAAATGTTGAAAAAGCTAACCCAAAACTGGTGGGATTGCAGGGTGAGGCTAAGAGTGCACAGCTGATTGGGCAATCCATTGCAAACAACCCGGCTTTCATCACGCTGAGGAAGATTGAAGCTGCCAGAGAAATTGCTAGCACCATATCAAATTCATCCAACAGAGTGTACCTGAGCTCTGATGATTTGCTGCTCAACCTGCAAGACCTCAACCTGGATGTCGTCAAGAAGTGACCTAAAAACTTGTCTCTCTGTCTAGCTGCTGAGATAACAAAGAGTTTAGTCTAAACTCGTATTTCATTTCTTTTGCTGTGGAAAAATTCCTTTTGAAGTTTGAAAAACACCCTTTTAGTTATGCTTTTGCTTTTGGAGGGGCTCATTGAGAATGGTAACCACAACATTTTGGGCTACAAACTACTATCGGGAAAAAATGCATCCGTCTCTCAATGACTTTATTTTCCGAATGTCGAAGGTGTGTGGCTGTGTGTGATCAATGATGGCATCCGTCACTAATTATTGTTTTTTCACCAAGTATGTGAATTACTTATGAATCCCATCAATGTTAGGATTAGTTTTCGTCGAATTTATAGGGCAAGAAGTCAAAAACTACTCTGTTTAGGCAAATTTCATGGTACCCTAAGGTGCACCGTTCAATCACGGATGAGCTTGGTACGCTACTTTTTATTTTATTTTTTCTGAGTATGGTAATTAAATATTTATTGCTGAAATAAGCAATTTTATTTTCCAAACATACAAAATGAGAGAAGGATTATAAATTTTTATGTGGACCTTAGCTTTCCAAAATAGGAGCACTAGTGACTCTACAGCTCTACTAGACGGGGGACCCTAGCTTGCCAATATGATCTTTAAATCTAGCGCTAATTATAAGCATAACCTTACAAAGTGTTCGTGCAATAAGCCCTTCATGCTTAAGTCTTAGCATCTTAACGACTTAACATTTTTCACGAACAATTAGTGGGACGACTTAGGATGCCAAGTTTCCTTGTAGCGGCGATTTATGTATGGATTTTAATGTTCTAATATGTCGCATTGCTTGAAAATGATGATAAATGTATACATTCTAGTGATAAAATTTTCAAGTTACATTTATCTTTCTCTTGAATGTTAAATGTGTTCTTTATCATGCAAACATGAGCATTTGTGGAATCAATATTAAAAAAGCAAATTCTAATATGAACCTTATGCGCGTAAAAAAGATTAGTGCGATCTCTCTCGGTCTTAAATACTCCGTATTTTATTTTATTTTTCTATTAAATTAAACATCTTTTTTTTGTTAAAAAAATTCTTAAATGGATCACATTATTTTTCTCACTTCTACATGAATCTAAATCACACAATTTAAATTTTCTTGAGCTCTTTAATTAGCACTCTGAAAAACTACTTTTTTTCAGATATACAGGGTAAAAGCTAGCTAGAAGTTGGTCCTAAAAAATTTCATCCAAAAATCACATTGAGAACTCTAAATGTCTTTAGACGGACACATGAAGAGATCACCAAGACACGACAAACGCTATGTTCTACATGCTTGAACCACAAGAATAACATAGTGCCACCAGATATATCATATAAGAAATGACAACCAGTCCAGACTTAAGATTTTCTTCTTGTGGAAGGTCTTGAGTTCGAGTCACCTACCAACAAAAAGGGGTTACTTTCTCCTATTTATGAATTAGAGAGCTAGACTTCATTTTCTTAGGAATTAGTGAATCACTAGTACTAGGTTAGAGACCCGCTCTAAAAAATCTCAATCCTAATTGGGGCATGACCAAACGAATACAACCAAGCCAAAGGTTAGAGTTTCTTGTGGTGGGGCCGCAATGCATTAGTATAAAAGATTTTCCTTCCAAAGGTTTTAATCAAATATTAAGTACAAATTTCACTCTTTACCACCAATTTGTGATCAAAGTATAATTTATCTTCTCTTAGTGACCGTCCGGAAGGGTGTGACCTTGAGGACATGGCTCATCCTTTTTGGGGGAAGAAACACAACCACAAATAGCTTAACCATGACATCACTTTAGAGTAATTCAAAGTTATGCAAAAAAAAAATTACAATTGACCACCCTAAGAAAAGTAATTATTACTATAAAAAAAGAGAGAGGCACACGCTTGGTGCAAATGGTAAAAAGTTATGGTGCAACTTATTTCCATCTCTTCGACATTTCAAGCTTAGTGTTGGAGAATTCCCCTTTCTTAGAATGAATACTGCTCAATATTTAAGAAATTTGTGCACCACAGAGGGCCTATATATTTGGAAATGTATTTGTCTACTGTTAGAATCCCATGTCAAAAGTGGAAGCTTTCAAATATTCTACTACAACACACTCTTAAGATTTCATACTCTGCATTATTTATAATTTATATTATTTCTTTAATCAAAACATTTTATGAAGTAATCTTACACATTTTTTCATTAATAGTGGACGAATTGATACACACATCCACTTCAAGTAATTTTTAAAAATACTTTGATTTAAAAAAAATACTTTTATAGAATATGAAAGCTTATGTGTGCGTCGTGTTATATTTGAAAGCTTCGACTTTCAACATATACTTCCCCGAACAGATAGACCTCCGTGGTTCACATATTCATGAAATATCCAGTAGTACTACGCCATGCAAAATCTAATGAAGGAGACTATGAGCCACACAGTGTCGTCACATTTCCAGCATCCATCTTAGAATGAATAGCCTTATAGCAATTGAGACTGCATAGTGGGAGCTTCGACTTGGAGTCACGATATTTGTATGGGTTCAGACAGGAAGGCCCCGCACATTTTTCACGAGGGGCTGGATAACTGAAATGACACAACAAATCCGTAAGATATTTTGTATTGATTTTTCATCATTTTAATAGTTTTGTGTTTACATTGGGCGTTTATTTAGTTTTACCTGCAGGGTTTGGATTCAAATATAGGGGGGAACCCCATCTCTATGGGAAATGTCACTACCGTCCCTGTAGGCCTCATGACAATTCTGACAGTTTCTGATGCAAGCACTTGATGTTTAGCTGCCTTCTCCTACAGAGATAGTTGAATGGATCGCAAAATTCATCAAGGCGACAATCGATGCTTCATAACAATATATTCACCAATCAATACACACATAGTACCTGAGCCAACTCTTCTTGGCGCTTCTTCGCTCTGTCTTCTTTCTTTTTTCTATTTGAATCTTGACCAAGTATTTTCCTAATTGCCTCGGCCTAAATTCATTATGATGACAGAAATGGCTCACTTAGTCAAAATCCTGAATACATGAGAGACTAATGATTAAACAAACAAACATTCAAAGGGGAAAACCTCAGATTCTCGAGCTGCCTTCTCATTTTGCATTTTACGCCTGTGAGCAGCCTCGGTTTTCTTCAGTTGCTGTTCCACCTCTGTGAGTTTCTCTTTTTGTTCTTTAGCAGCCAAAGCAGTGCAGATATGATTAAGAAATAAAGCATTTAGACAAATACTTTTTTTCATTATATAAACTTCTTTAAAAGTCGCCCTAGAATGCACTGTTAAAAGGAAATAAATAAAAACAGCATACTCACTTCGAGATGGAGGTGGGGGCAAACCATTAGGGAACTCAACCTCATTCACACCAGCAGATGGCTCCTTGCTTGAGAGAAGAGCTCGTTGACGTGTTGTAAGAGCTAATTCCCTCTTGGATTCCATCACTATATCAGGTGGGGAGTCCCTTCTTTGTTTCTGTCTCCTTTTCCCTTCACAATCCCCATCAGACAACAACATTTCCTCCTCTTCATACTCAGTGTCGTCAGAACCTTTATCGGACCTCTTCTTACCATCTTTGGCCAACTTCCCAATCTCTCCGACACTTTTAGAAACCTGAGAAAGACTCCGATGTTTATTGGACTTCTCCTCCTCATAATCTTTGAGGCCAAAAGCTTTTGATGTTTTTAGCTTTTCCAGATACCTAATCTCATCATCATCTTCATCGTCTTCATCAAATGCCCCATCCAAAACACGCCTCTTCGGGACCCGTTTGCTCTTCCTCACAGAATCTGACTTTTCAGCTGAACTCTTGTTTGACATCTTCCTGATACCCTCCTTGCAAGAATCAACACCCCTAGACAAAGCTTTTGTTGGATAATGGATTTTCGTATCCGAGAGGATTTGACCCTCTCCTGGATTTTCCTGAGATTGAAATCAAATGTTCAGATGAATAAAATAAATCCGCAGTGCACTAAAAGGGAAAAAAATATGTAATGACATCTACTAGTGCAAAATAAATGCAAAAGGTTATACGAAAACATTTCAATTATCTATCCCCTCTTTAGTAAAATGACCCCATATTGGCCTACAACTAAAAGTGAAACAATTGCATATTTGCCTCATTCGAATCGTTGATATATTTGTGTTTAACTGGAAATTTAATATTAAATTGTATTATCTTCGCCACTAGAACTGAAGGAAGCGAAATACAATTTTATGTGACACATATTCTAAATTCCTTCACCTCCTTCCAACCTCAAAGTATGTGTTAAAAATGGCATAGACTGGTTTTATAATAAAAATTTACTCTTCCATATGAATTACTTGATAAGGACATCTAAACCTGAAGGGTAAATTTCTGCCGTGGCCGAGGGGCGTCAAGAGGTCGAGAACTCTTTGTAGAAGATCCAATGTCATATGTACCATGGGGATTGCTTTTAGCTTGAATAGTACATGTTACCCCACCGAGCTTCAGCTTAACTTTCTTGAGCTTGTTTTCATTTCCTACACCATTGTGAATTGCTCCCAAATGTCCGGTAGGACTCAGGTGGTGGTAGGTATCATCTCCCGGTCCACTATTGCTGTAGGGTACTCTAGATTCCATATCATCCTTAACCCTCTTGTTTGGATAATCAGTTTCAGCTATAGTAGCAGGAGAGCCCCTTGATATACACTGGTTAAGGCTGAACATCTTCCCTCCAGAACTAACATCAGTTTCCTCACTGGAGACCCTTCCGGGATCATAAGAAATTGGTGTTGATGGATCATAACTTTCTGGAAAAAGCTGTATCTCAGGTCTAGGTCGCCGAGGAATGCTGCTTCTTCTCTTCCTTATTGTAGCACTAGGAACAGGAGCTTCAATAAGAATGCCACCAGGTTCATCCATGAAGTCTTAAGTGAAAAGGTTACAGTTAAGCGATGAATTAACTTCCCTCCTATTGCATTGACTCAGACACTCCAAAATGCAACCACCTACAAAACCCTATATAAATCATTATGTAACGGATTCACATCAGAATGATGAGAAGTGAGGCGGTAAGACTTGAGAGCAAATCTCGCATTGGCCTTCTTAAAGCATAATTCGAATAATTCTACATATTGTAAAACAAGTTTAAAAAAGAATCACAAGTTAAAGCAAAACAATTCGGCAAGGAAAGCCAGACCAAAAGCAATAATAGAATCCATCAAAAAACAAGCTTGGGGCCACAAAAGGGAATCAAAGCATGAAGTGTACTAATTAGCCCCAGACCTTGGCCTAAACCAGAAAAGGGGAGAAATTTCTCAACATACCCCAAGCACATCATTCGATTAGAACAAGCACACAGAACAAAAAAGCTCAAATCATCAAAAAAAACACAAAAAAAAAAACTTCAATTGGCAGAATGCAACGATAAGAAGCAGGGCGACATGTGAAGAACAAAACACACACCTTTGCAAGATTAGCGGATGAACCGAATTGTCAATCAGCACGGAAGAAAGAGAGAACGCGACTGCGAACTGGGAAGGCCCAGAAGAAGAAGGTTGGGCGAGCGGATAGAATGGAATTGACGGAGAGAGCGAGCAAGAGAGAGGGAGAGAGATCTTGGACGGGATAAAGAGAGATGGCGGAGGCGATGATGATGATGATGATGAAGACGAGAGGAAAATGGAGGGTTTAGATTGGGGGGAAAAGTTTCTAGGGTTAGAGCTTGGGTGATGGGTGTGTGGGTCTATAGAAGTTGTGGTGGTAAAGGGAAAGAAGACTTTGGAGTATATCTTCACCATTTCTTCTTTTTTCTTTCTCTCTTCTTAATTCACCCCGTCCCCTGGAGCTTCTGTTTTTTGTTTGGATCGCAGTTTTAGATGACCCGACTCTCTGAACTGAGAATTCGACCCGCCCCTTTTTTCTCTCTCTTCCTCGTTTCTTCTCTGTTTTCCCTCCACCGCGGCCTGCAACTCTTTACTCCCTGGCCGTCTTACCGTTTGGAGCATGAATGAAATGTCAACAACAACTGAAGCATTTTAACCAATAAAAAATTGTTCAGTCAACGAGTGGCACGTGAGTGGAGTGGCATGCCTTGCAGTAGCAAGTCATTATTTTTATCACTTTTTTTTCATATTTTTGCCATATTTGAATTATTAAAAATTATATTACCTATATATTTTTATCATGAAAATATTTTACGTAAATAACACTATAACATAATAGTTTTCCCTAAATAGCATCAAATGTATTTTTTTCCAATGTCGCACTTTTAGTCATTATCCAATAGTCATTATTCAATTAAATGTTCGTCATCACTGGACATTATACACATTATTAAGTGCTATTTGAAAAATAAAACAATTTAACTATTATTTAGCGAAATAACTTAAATTTTAGTGCTATTTAGTGCAAATATTTCTATGGGAATAATTCAATCATTCAAAAATAGTCCAGTACAAGAAAGTAGATTGACATGTTATGAAGTGACAAATCACTTTTTTGTCACTTTTTACATTTTTTGACATATTTTAATTATTAAAAATTATTTTAATTTTCTTTTTTCATAAAAATACATGTACTCTGTTTTTAAAAAAATTGCATCTTTTTAGTGCAAAAAAGAAAAATAGAATAAATAATAAAAAAAGGTTTGCCTCGCTCATTACACACAATGTGTGGTGGAACTCTCGGCATCATTGGTTTGCAGCTCATGTGGCAGATGCTCTTACCTTTCCGCTCTATTTTTAATTTAATTTATTTAAAAACTAATACAAAGCATAAAATATTCAAAAATGAGTATTTATATATAGGGGTGGACACGGTACCGGTACGGTACCGTCACCGGCAACGGTACCGCCGGTACCCGCCACCGTACCGTCGTCGTCGCCGTGTCACCGGTTCCGGGAACCGGTACCGGTACTGCTCATTTCGGTACCGGTTCCGGTACCTATTTTTTGGTACCGGTACCGCCGGTACCGGTCTGGTACCGGTTTTTTTTTGTTCATTTCAAATCCTGCAAAAAGTTAAAAAAAAAAAGTGGAGGGCACACCTCAAACGGCTATTTAG